CACTGAAATACCAGGTTTACAGTTAAATGGTCTTCTTTTTGCTATTGTAAACAAAATAAACTAATTTCCCATTCAGAGGGCTAACCACCAAACTGAAATGACTAAAGTCATATTTATTTTCATTTAGTTGGTAAGGGCTGAAGCAAAAGGGGACAAGAAAACATGACTGAACATATTCCAACGAGTTGCTATTAGAAGAAATGAAAAATGAAATAAAAAAAGAAAGCCTAAAAAACATTTTTTTTCTGTGACATTTTATAATACTGCGTACATATTAAGTGTCCTGACACCTCCATTAACATGTTCCCAGTGACAAAGTGTCATCACTTAAACATAGATTCTTGGTTCTTCATGCGAGAGAGGCACAATGGTCACGTTTAGACGTCATCAATTTTAAGAAAAGCTATGGCCTAATCCGATGGAACAATCAGCAGATGTACAGACCCAATATTTGGGAGGGCGGGGCGATATCATTGAAAGGGTCCCTTCAGAGTACTCTTGCATTTGATGATTTGACAGTGTGACGGTCAAAGAACGTGAGTGTGGAAAAAGGAATTTAGCCTTTAAATGCCAAATAAAAGTACTTTGCTGCTTCCTTTCTTATCTCCTGCAGCACACGTACACAAAGAGGATGGTCCATGATAACCTGAAGAAGGATCAGTTTTCAGGGGCCACAGCACCCAATGCTACACGCCATTGTTTCCAAACATATACGGCCAATTTCCCCAGTAATTGTAATTAACCACCATGATTGTCTCTGTCCAGTCTTTTATCCTCTGATCTAATCTTTGAAGTATAACTAACCAACAATCTAACAATCTAAGATCAGTTTAACAGATTTTAGAGAGATCTGCGTATTTTTAAGTGAGTTACTATCTGCAAACTGACATCTTTCCTGATGGTTTCCTCAGGCAACGTCTTTCCGCAGAGCCTTATAGCATGATCGGCTGTACGTGCTCTGGCGGCTTACCTAACCGGACTCTATTTTTAGCTGTAAATTGGTAATTTAGAGAGGGAAAAAAGGGAAAAGAAATAAAAGGAGCCACAGAAAGGAGGAGAAAAAAAGGCAGAGAGCTGAAAACTGGGACAGCATGCTCGGCCGTGTGTGTGAAACCAGTAAAGCTGTTGACACATCACAAACTCAAAATGCATCAACCATTTTCTGGAGTTTCCCTCTGTCTTGTGAAACAGTGGGGAATATGTCACTGTAAATAAAGGAGCGATTATCAGCAGATATTAGAGTTTTTTTGCTCCGTTTTTTACCTTTTAACATATACCCATGGCTGCTGTGATCTACGTGAGCTGTGATTTCAGGGAGGAGTTTTTGAAGTCTGTGATGTGATTACAGCAGGATGTCGAGCAGCTTTACAGCTCCACGGACGCACGTATCTGTCTCCATGTCTTCTGGGAAGACGTGTACCTCACCCAGTTTTAATTGGTCTGTTGTGAATCACTTAATCCAGCAGTGCAGGCTTATTAGCCCCCCATCAAAGAGCCTTCGTCATCTGCGGATGCAGTCACTGACTCTAGCCGGGCCTGTGACCTCTAATTTATGAGCACAGACCAGCCGCCGCAATTTAAAACACGGTCTTTGACAGCTTTTTTTTTTTTCAGTTCTTTTTTTTAAAGCGGCTCTAACAATGGCAGCAATCACCTCTGTCTTAGTTTGGTTGTTTCGCTGACCAATGCATTCAAAATGTGAATATAGCACGGAAATGTGAGCCTCTAATTTCCACTGCATTGAGGTAAGATTGAATGTAACACTGGAGAGAAAAAAAAGCTGCTCTCGCTTTGTACAGATGGCCAGTCTTGTTTTTTTAAATGCATGCGACTCGGGAAGTCAGTGAAGCCAGAGAGCTCTGCGCTTCACGGTTCGTCCCTTTAAATTGGCTGCCAGCTACAACTGGAGAGCCTCCACAGCTCTTCTTAACAGGCTGTTGATCCTCAGCCTCTGGGTATGCTGTACCTGCAAACTGGCATCTGAATGTCATGTCCTTTATTCATCAGTGGAGCCTTCAGTTCTGCTTAATAACTGCAGAGGGATTAATCTGTGAAAGAAAGAAACCCCTCTGATCTTGAAGCATGTCTATCATGTCTGAGTTTTGTTTCCTGATATTATACTTCATCATAAAACTAGTATAAAGCTAAAATCTTAATATGGCTTGAGGTGAATGGCCAATGGGTGGTGTAAGTGGGTGGTTGCTCAGAATAGACTGTTTTGTTTCTTGATTTAAATTATTCACAAAAATATGTGCCTATGGATCCTTGGATTAACTCATTCTGTGTTGCAATTGAATGTGTTTTTTTCTGAAAAACATTAAACTATTTTTTTGCTTCATCACTGAAAAACTCTTCCGAGTACAGAACAAACCTCGTGCTTCAACAGAGCTCAGGTCCTGAGAATTTGACAGCTTTTTAGGTGGTTTATGTCTTGGTTCCCCTTTTTATTTAAGTTTCAGATTACATTTCTGGCCATTGGCCCAACCTTTTATGAATGTTTTCTCTTTATGATCCCATGCAGATGTTGAAAAACTATTGAGTACCTTTTATCATATGATTTACTGATGGCTATTTTTACTAAGAAAGGTAAGATTTGGCGGGGGGGGTTCTTATAACCAGTCTTGACACTCTTACCTGTCAACAGTTATTCAGTTAAGTGTTATCTCATTCAAGCTTTTCTCATAGTCTACAGAGATAGAAAAACATTCTGACTATTACAATGATGATTATATTTGTCAAAGAACATTTCTAAAAATACAAAAATACATACATATATATTTTTGTAATTATGCTTACTGTTTGCTTTATAAAAAGTTGATGATAAAAGACACTTTTTTGTGTTTGGCTCAGATTGTTGGTTAGTTTGTCAATAGTGTCTTCCTATGGAGTACAGTCCGCATCAGTAGATGTGCACACAGTTTGTCTTGCGTCCCAAAGTAATAAAATTAAAAGGCAGTATGAAACACCTAACATTTTTTAGTTGTCTGTCAGGCAACATTCTGTCATACTGTTTCTGTTGACTTAATAAAATGACTGTAAAGCAAGGCTAATTTATTTTTATAGCACAATTTTTGTACAAGACAATACACAGTTCTTCGCATAAAAGGTTACAGAGGGAAAATTAAATAAAAAGGAGTTTAAAAGCAGAATTTAAGACTGAATTAAACCCCAAAAAGAAACAAAACAAAAACAGCTTAGAATAATTGATTAAATAAATCAAAAGCCCAGGATGCAAATAGAATATCTTCAGGTGTCATACGCACAGCTAAGTAGACCTGTTTCTACTCTGGATTGAAACATTGTCAGAGTTGAGGCCTGTTTCACTTCTTGAGGAAGACTGCTTGAGATTCTAGGAACATAAAACGGAACTGCATCCTCACCTTGGCCACCAGCAGGAGACCACTACCTGAAGTTCTCAGAGTCCGGGGAGGCTAAAATGGTTCTAACGTGTAGGAGATGTACTTTGGAACCATGAAAAGACTTGTACACAAGCATAGCTTGCTGAAAATCTATTATCTGAGCTCCTGGAAGCCAGTGCAGAGACCTGAGCACTGGACTATTATGATTGTCTTTCCCTGTTCTGGTCAGAACTCGAGCAGCAGCATTCTGATCTACCGCTGCCTTCCAGCTTGTTTAGAGACTATGGTGAGCAGGCCGTTGGAACAGTCCAACCTGCTGGAGACAAATGCACGGATTAGTCTTTCTGAGTCTGGTTTAGACACTGTTCCTCTGATTCTGGCAATATATTTTGGATGGTTAAAAAAGCTGATGATGCTATTGAGTTAATTTGGCTTTTACCCCTAGATTGCTAACCCGATTATTAGGTAATCCTAAGTGTGAAACGCTACTACTTTACCCTTCCCACTGCTGCAGAGCGCAACATGCTGCATCCTCCCACTGTTGCAGCTTCCCACGACTAAAATTTCCCTTTGATGATTAGCTGCAACTAATGAACTCGGCTCTGATTTGCGAGCCGAGGCGTCCTTAATGCGCCACCGCTTCCGCCGTGTGCGATGATGGCGATGACGACATGCGTTTGCCACTTTCAGGGTCTGACAGATTGACCGAGCATGAGATGTCAGTCACTGTCACCCGTTCCTGAGACAATGGATGTGAGGCAGTCGGATTACACAAAGTGCATTGGGCCTACACAGGTCTACACATCTAGAATTCGCTGGATGAATACAGATTTATTTTAGGTAGTTTAATAGCAGAAACAACAGGACTCTGTGCCTATTATTAGTGTTCCTCTGTTTACTCCATTCAGTAGAGGGGGAAGGGAAACGGCCAGTTGTGTGATCCACATCGATTGTAGTGAGCACGCTTCAGGGTGTTTTATCTAGATGTTACATCTACGATGCGTCGTTGTGAATGAGAGCACGCTGGTGTGACCCGTGAAAAGAGGTGCACGGGCAGTTTGAGTTGCAAAACGTGAACGAATAGAGCTACCCGTAGGGTTTTTAGCTCAGTTAATTAAGCTGGATTCACAAGGTGAGCTCAGTGGTCATTAGTAAAGCAAGTCCCACACAGTCGCCTTGCACCCGTTCAGGCATGCAAAGGCAGGGTCAAGGGCGCTGGCGGGCCTGAGCACAGCAGCGTGAAATTATGTGTCATACTAATAGTAATTATGTCAGCTCATGGGGACACTTGGTTAACTTACTGATTGGGGTGTGGGATGCCATTTCTCTGTTAGGCAACACTGTTGTAACTCTTGTTTCCATCTAGTTATATCTACACAAAATCGTCGTGTCCCATAATCTTAAGAAGATGACGAGATATGTATTTGTTAAATCGGTTAGGTAAAAAAAGATTAAAATGTGCAGTCTGATGAGCAAAATTGAAATGCAACATGTTTTCATCTCCTCCCACACGTCCAAAGAAGTATTTGTAAATGCTGCCCCCTTGTGTTGTTTTTGTAGAAATGCAGGTACAAAAAAAATCAACCCTCTTCCAATTGTGGAAAATATCCATTGACACGGCTCTCTCTCTCTCTGTTTCAGGTTATGGACACGCTGTCCAAACTTTCCCATACGACAATTGCACAACAAACTGGAATCAGGTAGACTGAAGTGGATAAACTTAAAACGAAAAAGAAAAAGAAAACAGAACAAGAAACAGATTTCATTTAATTGAAGTAATTGTATCCTTTTGATTGCCTTCACAGAGCCTTTCCCACCGAGGACAGTGTTGAAGATGAGGACATCTACAATCATTTGGAGGACCTAATAGAGTGTGTTTTTTCATATTATCAAGAAGTTATAGAGTGTTTTGCTCAGCCTCTCTCCACTTAACGTACCAACTTCATTAAACTCTACAACTCATTGTTTAACAAAATGGCATTTGTTCCCTGGGTGTTGACTGGAAGGCAGCCACCTCCCCACAAGGCTATCCACAGAAGTTCAACCCACTCTTTTCTCAGTTAAACACAAGTTGTGTGGGACTGTGGTTGAATCACTTGTTGTTGCATGCTTTACTAAAAGGCCACACATTTGTTTGTGTATAAAAATAATCTTTGTAGTTCAAGGAGTTGAACTAGAGTGCGTTGCCGCAGAGCATTGATTTAACCAGGTCAACTGAAATCGACAGATGGGACTGGGTTAACCTGTGGGCATTTATGAAAAAACTGAAATCATCTGTGGTCAAAGGGTAGATGTATCAAAACAAGTCATGCAAGTTATTATCTTATGTTCCACCTTAAAGAGTAAGGAACAGTGTGATAAAAAAACAAAACAGGTTGGACCTCTGTTAAACTGCCCGTTAATTTTGCAACGTTATGTAGGAAACATTGGATATGTTAGGACTTAATTTACCAGCTGCTAGATCACACATATTTTTCCAATTCTTTTCCATTATCCGTCATGCCACTGCTTTAAGTGAAGCTCGCTTTCGTTTAATTTGAGTTTAAAGAGCATCATATATTAGCTAAAACCATTAATCGTGCAATACAGTGCATGTTTATTTTTTGTTTTAAAGGTAAAAAAAAAGTATGACATTCAGGCATTGAAGCAGAAGTATAGGGAAAGACTAATCATGATGTAAGGAGGCCTCACGGTGACACAGAAGCCTGCTCTTTGTTTAGTTCTTGACAGCTCCGGCTGTACAGGAAGAAGGCCACTAGCAGAAGTTACAGAGGGAAACGGCGTGTTGACAGCAGCCAGAAGTAGGATGGGAGGATGTGGGAGTCTGGATCTCAATGAACGGTGCTGTTTCCAGTGCTCAAAGCCCATCTGTTCTGTGTTCAACAGGAGTACACATGGAAGCGTGCCATTTACATAGCAGGCAATCATCTTTTTGTTGAGCTTTCTGAACTGACCCGATTATCACTACACAGCTCCAAAGTGAAAGTATTTAATATCATTGTGCGTTGAAGAAAAGAAAATCAGATTGATTCAGCTGGATGTGACAATGTCTTTGTTTTCAACAACAACAAAAAGTTCTGCAAAAATTTACAACAAAAACAGGAAAACCATAATGAGTTTCGGTTTAGAAAAGGAAAAACAACCCAACGGTTGTTTTAAATTGTTTTTATCAGTCACTTAATTATATTTTTCATAAATGATGAAAGCTCTAACATAGCAAACTGTGGAAATCTGGAAATAAATGCAGAAATTAGTCATGATGTATATATGTTATCCCCAGATTACATTATTTATTGCCAAGCATTAAAATCCATGTCCTTTGAAAACCGAACTGCAATAGTATCATGGTCATTGTGAAGATTAAAAGTGTTATTTTCTCTCTGTGAAGCCCAGGATCAACCGTACTGCTATTTACTGCCATGTTCTTGTGTAACACAGTCTTCTTATTTGTACCGTAGTGAGAATGGGGTGGAGGATGAGGAGGATCTGTATGACTGTGTGTATGATGATGAAGATGGCGGAGAGATCTACGAGGACCTGATGAAGACAGAAGTCATCCCTCCTCCGGTTTGTTTTCGCCACTGTAGCATTACTCACAGATACAGATAGTGACACTGTACTCTTCATTTCCATAAAACTAATAATCATCGACAAACAAAAGAACTTCAACATATTTAGACTTGAGCTTTTGAGGTCACAGTAGCCCTTGAACAATTTCAGGCTTGGGGTTTCCTTATTTTCCCTTCCTGCATGCTTAATTTTTTGGATTTTAAGATAAGCTAACAGTCCCTTAGCTGCAATTTTAGCACGTCGACAATGGATTGGTTCCTTAAATCTCAAAAAGTCTTGAAATCAATAATTTTGGATGTTCGATTAAAAAGAAGCCATATAGTTACACACAAACTACAACCTAGTAAATATTACGTCTAAGAATAATGAAAATGAATAAAGGCACTTTGAGTAACTTTAGCATTCAACAAGGTTTTGTAACAAAACAAGGAAAAGCTAGCTAATAATTGGACTATGTACATGTGTCCTGTATATATTTTCTATGTGGTCTTCAAATAGTCTTGTAAAAACAATAAAATGGTGTGCCAGTATATTTTTGATTTAAGTATTCTTTTGCTGATGTTTTCTTTGTTTTCCTTCTGTTTTCTGTACTTAGTGCAACACCATAGCCAACTGTACAACACAAAATCATGTTTTGGCCATATCTTATTTATTGATAGAGGAGAAAATATCCTATTTTCTCATAATAGGCAGAAACTTTAGCGTGCAGGTGTGACGCCTGACCTTGCTACGAGGCTGGGATCGACTACATCTGGTCGGACAATCAACAGTATGTCAGCCCACAGTGCTGACACATGAGTGTGTTAATGTGTGTTTTTTGTGCGTGTGTAGGCGTTCCAGAAGCAGGCGGAGACTGACATCAGGAGCTGCTGTTTAAATGAAATTAGGCAGACAGAGGAGAAATACACTGAGACCCTGGAGTCTATAGAGAAGGTATGCAAACAGTCACTACAGTAAGATAAAACATGTTTTAAAGTAACACGTCATATATGGTCTGGCCCATTAAGCGTTTTGTTTTAAATGTGACATTTAGATTACCACCAGTCGACTTGATTTGATGTCAATTCTTTTCTGGATCCAGAGGGTTGGCGTACCAGATTCTGCAGTGTTGTTGCATGGAAACGCTGCTTTCCGTGCTCAGAAATACCCTGACGAAATTGTCATTGTGTAGTTAAAGAAAACAAGTTATTATTTTCCTGCGTAGAGCTACAGGAGCAGAATGACATGCTGAATGTGTCCAGAGGTTTTTTTGGATAATGGGGTAAACATATGTAAAAGTATTCCCAGCAGCCCTGGCTTCAGATTTCTCTTTATACTACATTTCCTGATTAGTACTCCCTTGGTCTGTTAATAATTGTCCATGTTTCCAAAGGAGTCTACTGGAATTGACAAGTATATTAAGGATTTAAAGTACACTATTACACAATTTATCACCAGTTTAAGGGGATACTCTAATCCAACAGATAAGCACGGTATTAGCTGTGTTACCTTTGGTATAGAAGACCTTTTAAAGAGATAAATGCTAATGTGGTATTTTCCAGTCGGGATTTGGACTAAAATTAAGATAACAAAATAACTTGACAACCTTTGGAGTTGTTTTTAATCATCAAAAGTCACATTTGTGCGTTATTATATTATATATGTTTAGATTTAGTTTGTTTTCAGAACCTAAAGAATGTAAAAAAGAGAACAAATAAAGGGTACTATATTTAAAATGCTTACAAGATTTGGTAAGTCAGTGGAAATTGGATTTTTTTAGGGATGGAGGCCTAATTGAGTCCTTGCATTAATTGCGCATTTTTAGGCCTCCTGGAATTTTGACATTGTCCAAGCTTTTGACATCTTACGATGAAAGATATATCCCACATATAGATTAAATAACATATATATATAATATTGACATCTTCTTTCTGGTCTTACTCCATGTCAGTATGCAAAAAAGAATGCTTTTCATTCCGTCAGCCGTTAAGTTTCCTGTCATGATCATTCAAATGATCTACACCATCAACATGGGCATTTAGTCATAAAAGAAAAAAGATTTAATGAATTATTCTAGACATTACAATAAGAACATACAGTAAAACATTTGCTGGGTGGATGTGGTCCCATTCAAAGATCTTTTATAGAATGCTGCTAAAAGCAGATCTAGTGGCCCTTAACGCCAGCAACATCAGGAACCGAAACAGGCTCACGGTTAGTATGTATGTTAGACATTATGAAAAGCAATGTAATGAGTAAGTTTGTTCTCTGTTTTTACTTGTTCTGTGTTTTTACTTCTAGAATAACTACATATTAGTAATCCAAGCCTTCCACAAAATCCCCTGGTACATAACTTTGATTGAGGCCTTTTCGTTATGGAGGCTGTCTATCTTACCCTGCCCTATTACTGGACGGTAGGAGGTCCGCTATATTCAAACCTCCCAGCCACAGCTACTTGTCTTCTCCCTCTTGTGTATGTACACATCTGCAAAAAGCCCTGGCCTGATTTCCCAGCGGAGCTTCACTGTAGATGACTTTTGATATGAGGCCGATGATGGAATTTAGTTTGTGCTCGCCTGCTCCGTTGAGATGTAAAGTTGACTATGTGGTGGGAGATTTCTATGAAGGAATCATTAAATTGCAAGGTCTGAAAATTAGATTATTTTTTTGACCCAGACGGTCGTCATTGTTTCTGCTTACTGCAGCTCTTTGCAACTTGGCCCCTTAATATAATAGCAGCCGGCACAAAATGACTTTCCCACTTTTGCTCCAGAGGAACCATCATTACTCTCTTGCATTCTTTCTCTCTCCTGCAGCACTTCATGATGCCCCTCACAGTGTTTTTAACCACGGTGGAGATGGAGAACGTGTTTGTGAATATTCCGGTGAGTCATGCCTCTGAAGGTTGTCACCTTTGCTTCTTACATTTATCTTCCATTGACTATATTTAGACCTCACAGCAGCAACAATACATGCGTGGATAATGTTAATTAAACGATATAATATCAGTTTAATAGCTATTAATTTAATAAAGGGAATTTTGATGTATAGAACTGTGCACAGTTCTTTGAGCTAAGTTCTTTGTGCTAGTGGGCTAATAACCACAATGCTAACATTCAGAGTGTTAGCTGAAAAACATTGTGTTACTTTAGTTTATTATTTCCTTATCAGGACCAAGACTTAGTTCAAATAAGCTGAGAAATTTTATATATTTTCCATATGTAGACTAACAGTTAGCTTAACTAAAACCTATAAAAATATAGGTACTTTGTTTTTAACATAGCTAAAAACAAGAATTTGCCTGTAGCAGTAAGATAAAGTTTCTCTTAAAGGAGTTTCAAAGAACAAATTAGGTTGTTCAACCGTTCAATTATTTTATACTTCAATGTTATGATCATGTTCAATGTGACATAATTTAATAATTAGTTTTGTGGGGCTATCAAAAAATTAGTAATTTAGGAAATCACTTTAGGTCTAAGGGGGTTATGGTAAACAGTTCTTTTTTTTTAATTTTTTTTTTTTACAATTCTTGACAAAATTTTCAATTAAGAATTGACAAACAAATTATTTGTGAGTTGCTATACTAAACTGACATAAAAGAACAGAAGGATCATATTAATTGTTTTTTTAAAAATGTTTTTCAGGACCTGGTTAAAGTTCACAAGTGTTTACTGCTGGAAATCCAGGACTCAGTTCACCACAGAAGTGCCAAGAACCTTGACCAGATCTTCATCTCTTTCAAAGAAAGGTACATGGTCATCTAGAAAAGTCACTTTTCATCCATTTTTTCATTCAGTCCCTTATTGCAACCATTAAGCCGTAAAATTATTTTATTTTTAAGACCACAAACACTACATCCAAGTAAATTGGAGCACAAAATCTTTATCCGTGGCGTGTCATAATCTTTGGAACAGTGTGTTGGCTTTTAGTCTTCGATTAAAGATGACTTATTGTTATTTACATTTTGAAATGTAAACTATTAGTTAATAGGTTCACACGCATGTACAACATTTTCTGTTGTGTTATGAGTTGGATCTGTTTCAGGTTGTTGATTTATGGGAAATACTGCAGCCACGTGGAGACAGCCATTGCTACACTCGATGAAATCTGCAGACTCAGAGAAGACGTACGCATGAAGCTGGAGGTATAAAGGTTCACGACTCCTTTCAGAAGGAGAACAAATGCTGTAGATGTTTCTTTAGGTGTGGCGTGACAAGTGCTTAGTTCCTTTTCTCACAGTGGTTGGAGATTGCCCTCAAGTGAGCAAATGAGGCATTGCACGGGATGATAATGCAGCTGACAGCATAGATTGATTCAGAGCTCTCTCTAAAGCTTTAGTTAAATCTACCTTTTTATTCCCAGTGGGATTTGTGTATATTCCGCCCAAAGTCTAATCCTTTTCTTTGTGCAGGAATGTTCAAAGAGAGCAAACTCCGGCAAATTCACTTTGAGGGATCTGCTTGTTGTTCCCATGCAGCGGGTCTTGAAGTATCATCTCCTCCTGCAGGTAAACTATAACCTTTTCCTGGTGATGAAGTTGGTGTGTGATGTTGGCAGAAAGCTGGTTCCTTTCAAATTGATACTCTTTGTGTTAGCAAACCACTCATGGCTGTGTTTTTCCGAGCAAATCTGTCAAACGCTTGGGAGCCAACATGGGTGAACGTAGGCGCTGTAATGCAGGTTTATTTTTAAATCATGTCTCTAAAGTTGAAAGACCTCATATTGAGATTTCACACCTATGTTGGTAATGTAAGCAAGTACGTCTTAGTCTCCTTCTGTGTAGGTGTGGAAAGTAAAAGTCTGTTTTCCCCTCACCACTACTTGAGTGAATAAACTATACTTATCCTTCAGCCTACATTTCAAAGAAAACTCTCTCTTTGTGGCCATGCTTGAAGTCACAGGGGCGTAACTGGCTTTGAAGATGACTCTAGGCCAATGAGTGTTTATCCTCAAACCCTTTGAGCAAGAGACCTGCTGGTCACTACTCAATTCGTCCACCAGGGGCAGCGTTGACCGTGTTTACCATCCCTCTCAGAATTTGTCCTTCAGATTACGGGGGACTCGTCTCCTCTACTTGTGAATCTTGTGCAAGACTAAGTTTAAAATGACCCCAGCATAATTGTAATGTGATAAAGTCGATCAAGGAAAGGCGGAGAGAGGGAAAATAAAAAGTTAAGCCAGTTGTGGAGGAGAGGGAAGGAGAGGGAACAGGATGAACAAAACAGATGTTTTCAAGTGCCGAGACTATGAATGTGGAAACTTAAAAGGTTGCAGAACATTACCCAGGTTCCTCACAGCGGATGTCCTCACTTGCATTTCACGATGGGAACCTGACATTTAGATGCAGAAGCATCTAAAACCTGTCTGGTTGTTTTTAGATCTACAACGTTATGTCTGCTTTATTAAATGAACCGCCAGCACTTTTCAGTCAAAACAGTGATACCTTGGAGCTCGAAATTAGATCTGCTGAACCATGTCCAAGTACGTATTGATTCCCAAAATAGCATTTAACACATCTCATTCAAGATGCCTGTGTCAGTATCTGCATCACTGGCCAGAACCCCTGTGGGGTCTGACTCAACAGATCTGTATATTCAGATCTATAGAATCTTTAAATCTTAATGTCTTGTCGCTCCCCAACATCCTTTCCTTTTCAGCTCTCCTTCTCTTTTCTGGGCTATCGGTCACTCCAGCCCCTAACCTCCTTTTGCAGTACTGTCCTCGCAATCCGGAAGGGCTACTCCCTTCTTCTGTATCTCAGTGGATGTGCGGCAGCTGTAACAAGGCTTGATAAACAGGCCACTGTTGTCCTGCTAGTGATGATAATGGCCAGATCTATACAGTATTGTATATATTTATGTATATGTGTATGTGTATATGTATATATTATATTATATGTTTGTGTGTGTGTGCGCGTGTGTGTATTTGTGGATATGCGCATGCATGGAGTCCATTTTTATCACCAACTTCTGAGGTTTAGACGTCTTCTTCACACTATACCACAGAACCCTGAAATCATTTTAGCTTCACACTTGAGCAAAGACACGCACGCACACTCTGTATCTAATTTATTTCAGGACAAGGTTGTTATAACAGCAACATATTTCATTTCATATCTGAAGCCAAAGCCGTACGTTCAACATGTGGCTCTACTGTGAGTTTGCACTAGGATAAAGGTGTACACGGTTATCTTTAAAAAAAAAAAAAAAATTTTTTTGATCTAACTTGAATCTTTAATGTCTGTGCTATCTGTTCCCGTCCAATAGGAGCTGTTGAAACACACTCACGATGCCGCAGACAAGAGTAATCTACGGATGGCGTTAGATGCCATGAAGGTACTTGATCGGTTTGCTCATTTTCAGTCAGTCATTAGTTCTGCATTATTTAATCTGATGTATTGAGCTTAAAGGACATGTATATTTCATGCCGATGATAAAAAATAATTGACATTTGGTGGAATGGATGATATGAAAAGCAAATTCAGCCACAAACATGAGAAAAAAAAACAGCATTTCAGGATTTTAAGCCGTTGTGACAGCAGCTGCTTTTGTTCCACATGACAAGATAAACACAATTCCTTTAGGAGATACACTCAATGAGCAGTCAAAATGTTTTTTCCTTTAGCTCACAGATGAGCTTGGCATTTGCTAATGATTGCAAAAACTCTGCAAACGCTCTCTGAAATGAATCCTCCACTAAAAGGCTGCTGTAAGGCCAAATTTGTTTTGGAAGTACGACGGGCTCTTTGGGGCGGCTGGCAGCCGAGAATTATGGCTCCTTTCTATAGTTCTACAATAAGAGGCTGGCTGTTTTTTAGGACTTGGCACAGTATGTAAACGAAGTCAAGAGGGACAACGAGACACTGCGAGAAATAGATCAGTACCAGAGATCCATCGAAAACCTGGTGAGTCACATGTTTAATGCAAAGAGCGAGCCGCTGATGGCGCTTTTCAATCTTCTGTCAAACCAAATCTCTCTCTATTTTTCTTTTTTTTGGTTGTTTTTTGTTTCAGAATGAGCCCCTCAAGATGTACGGGAGGCCTAAGGGTGACGGAGAGGTGCGCGTGGCCTCAGTAGACAAACGGGCTAAACAGGACAGGTGAGACATTGGCCCGACGTGCCGGCTGGCTGAGTGAATAAAGTTAAACCAGAATCTGGAGCTTGTGCTTGGAAAGTTGCCAAAGCCTGCATTAGTTCGAGTTAGAATGCAGAATTAAATTACACGTTAGCAAGTGCCTCTCATTATTTTGACATTTAACTGATTTTACATCCAAAGCAGGATTCCCAACGACAAACACAGATAAATCTTGTTGTAGTTGCCTTCACAAACTCTTATTTCACTTGTATAATAAGTCCAATTCTCATGTGATATTACAACTTTAATTTAGCAAAGGTGCCTTAAATAGTGAAAGTAATATAATTTCTTGAAACACATTGGACAAAATAGGCTCAAAATACATTCTCTATATTTCATCTTGTTTATTTCTTTAACATTTTTAAATGAAAAGACATATCTAATTTCTCACCTGAGATGTGAAAATAATTGTGTTTTGTTGGAATCTACACATTACCAGCTTTATGTTTGTATGAAGATTGTGAATGTCCAGAAAAAAGATGCTCTATGTGACCCATGTTTGTCTCATATTGATAGTCAGAGGATTCTGCTTCTTTTCATAGCAGCCGCGCTCACATAACGCAAAATGCATACCGAAGCTGGGAAACACGAGGGTATTTTGGTTAGATTACTTGTTAGTTATGAAAAAGCAAATTATAGCTCCATTCATGCATTTACACAATATCTGTAATGCACATTAGAGATAAAATCGTCACAAAAAACATGCGCCCATCTGTTTTGACATTAAGTCGTTACTTCAGGCTCACGTTTCTATGCTCTGATTGTAGGAACAGCCTCTTTTACTCATGACAAAATGCCCTTTTAGTCTTTCAACTTTTACATTATGATTTTTAAATGGTTATGTATTTTTTTATGTGGATATGGTGGCTCCCGATATCTTCTTCCTTCTCTCTCCATATGTTGTGTTCATCATGTCGGGCATTTTTAGCCAGAAGACACTCGCTGGTGTTTGTTTTGCTGTTTCTGCCAACAGCTACCAACGACTTCACCAGTCATGTCAGCATCTGGAAAATAGTGAAATTACTTAAAATTCTTAATTTAACTAATGTAATAATGTGTGTAGAGCATCAGCTGAGCCTTGATTTCCATTTAAGATAACATGCTGAACAAAATGCTGGCAAGTTATGCTGAACTATCCATCCCGACTCTTTTTTGGAAGAAATAGTAATTAATTCAATGACTTGGTCCGGACATATTTCCTTACCTGCAGATTCAAATAACTCACTTTCCAAATAGGCCTCTTTTTCTTTTGTTTTATTCCAAGGACGATTTAGGTAAATTAGTTCTGAAGTCTCTTTGCATTTAAAACTCACTGTTTGGGCCATAATTAAAACATTTTACTAAATGTTATAGGCTTGAGAGTTACTGTTAATTATAGTTTTACTAACAGAACTTTACGTAATTGGTTGCACTCAGGGTGCATATCTAAATTTAACATGACAGAATGCGTGTATCGGAATTTCTTTGTTTTTACTGCGAAAGTAAAAGGCAGTCAGGCTCTAAAGTGTCCGTCAGGCTTTGAAATAAACAACAGCCCGTGATGGATTCACTTTTAATGACTTTGACATCTTTTTCTCTCCACAGGCACATCTTCCTGTTTGACGCCGCCGTGATTGTTTGTAAGCGGCGAGGAGACAACTACGAGATGAAAGAGGTGATCGATCTGCACCTCTTCAAGATCACCAACAACCCCACATCCGACAAGGACAACCGAAAGGTGGGGACGCACGTGCGGGCCGTTGTTTGCCGAACTCACCAGCTGCCTTGAGAAAGCCCCTCCCCTTTTAAACAAGCAGCCACCGATGAGTCACAAAAACAGCTTTCTCTGTGGGAAATTTAAATTATGATGAAAAAAAAAAAAAAAAAGCCACAGGTGATGATGACTCAGTTCCCAGCTTATCATGTATGAGAACAAAGATAATCAGCGGCAAGTTCGACAGATGCTGACTTTGTTTCAAGGATTATATCATATTCACAAGAACACGTTTGAATGGTTGGAAAGACAAACCTGTGTTGTTGAAATGCAAATGTGAAAAAATAATTTTACACTGATACTGATACTGATACACTGATAGCAAAAAAAAAAGAAGTTTAGGATAATAAAGTTGGGAACTATAAAATGAGAGAAACACAGGGATAAAAGAAAAAGGATAGAACATTGACATTTTTTAAATAGAAAAACACAAAACACTACTTCCAATTATATAAAAAGCAATTAATCTTTTTCCTTTTTTTCTCTCTTGATCATGTCATGACTTTGGATGTGAGAGCTGTGATGTCCTTTTGTGTAGAACTAAGTCCCGAACGTTGCAATTAGCTGGCAAGGTTAGAGATAGACACCTACCTTTATGTTTATTGTTGACTATGGCAGTTTCTGCACTCTATAGAAACACTGGTGTTTTTAAACACAGGCTGATGCGCAACATCCACATACTTCAGGTTTTCAGTTGTAGTCTAAGGAGAACCAGAATGTGACAGAAAACAGACTGAAGGACTCAAAGATACAACTGGAGCAAGAGCGTCTGGCACAGCACACCGAATGAGACGCTGAAAGGCTCTCACCGGGGACAGAGGACATTTGGAAAAGGAAAACATACAAAGGGGGGATGATAGCTTGTGTCTGCAGGTGAGTCCATGAGAAGCGGATGAGGTAACTACACCTGACGCTGGATCAGGGTGGCTGTGGACAACATTGGAGTTGGGAAACAAAAGTCAATCTTCTCTGGGCCTCTGAAATCCAATGAAATGATCGAAAATGCAATAAGCACGATGACAAGAACTCTGCTCAGACATCACGAGAAATGAAGAAAAGCAAGACATTTAGCGAGCAGAACTAAAACCTAGAGAAAGCAACTCTAAGAAATTGAGTGATAAAGACATTATTGATGTTATTGTGTTACACTTTAATTTTTCCAGCCTTAAGCTTGTGTAATGCATCAGCTGTGATTATATTTAGTTTTGGGTTATGATGACTTTAAGAAATTGTCCAGGGGGTGAATTCCCGCGTCACCCAAGTAACGTTTGTGTCTTGTTGTCTTAACTTGGGGAAGCATTTATCTCAGTCACTTCGGATTGTGCGTTTGTCGAGGGGGCAGCGATGACGTTAAATAACTGAGAAGAAAACAACAAAAACCTGTTTCTCTTCCACACTATGTTTCGAAAACTCTGATCAAGACATTTTTTTTCTTTTTGTACAGTATGTGTTAATTTCCCTTACACAGGCCGAGCGATTTTTTCCCCCCTGACTGTGAACACTCCTGGTTTCAGATTTGTCACAGCTGACACAGAAGTGGGACTTAACGCCTCACTTTTTGTTTTTATGTTCTTATTCACAACAAAGACACTTCCCTTTTTAGGAATGATCGCTATGCTCCTTCTGAATTCTCAGTGGCTCTTTAACATTTGTGCTTAATTTTATGTCGCACTATTTTCAGAGAACGGCAGCCCACTTTAATCTGTGACTTGCTGTGGGTTTTTTTTATTCCTGTGAATGAAAGCTTTGAGGCAGATGTCATGCCCCGTCGCCCATCCCAGCGGGGGCAGATCAAAACGGTGTGTTTATCCCCGGTTATCCTTTCACCGTCTCTTTCATTTGCGGCTTATAAAAAGCGATTAAATAACAACAAAGGCCCTCCTATTAACATGCTGTAAAATAACAACAAAAAGAGCCAAATAAGCACCTCCTAACAGCCAGTCGGTTGTAATGAAGGGAAGCCTTGCGCTGTTGAGCTCATTATCGCGCCTTTATGGCTGAGTCAGCAAAGCTCAAACGCCACGTCGGACTCCAGACGAGCCAATTAATAGCGCTTTGTCTGCATAATGAGTTGCCAGAGCAATTCATCAGATGAAAGCTGGTCCGTAGCGCTGAATGAAAAGCACCTGTAACAACCTCCCTCCCGCTCTTCACATCCCACCCCCCGAGTCACGTAGCAGAAAAGCCTAACACGCCCCAAAAACAAAAACAACAACAAAAAAACTTCCAGGCTCTTATCGCAAACACCAATAATTAACAGTTTAAAACAATTTGCCACATGCTTGTTCCCGTGTGTGTTTTACATCCTCTTATTCGTTTCCCAGCCTCACTTGGAAACTGTGTCAGACTGCAGCAGTCTGCCTCCTCCCAGATGGTGTTATCATTAAACCTCGCTCTGGGCCCGACTCCACACGCACACAGAGTGAATACTAAGTGCCAAGAGGGGAAAATATTGCCAATCATAATGAGGAATGATCTCCGAAGCGTGCCAAAGAGAGAAAAAAGAAAAGGAATTGATTTGGGTAATAATGATGCTGTAAATAGACACATCAGTAGGCTTATACTCACGCAGGCTTATGGGCTTATATTTTCTGAAAGTTGCGATCAGCTCGGCGGCGTTCACCTCTGGGATGAAGGATGTGATGCCGTTTGCTCGATGGCGTCTTTATGTGCTGAATGATGGAGGTGACAGTGGCTGCTTGAAGGAAACAACAATAACAACTTCCATCACAAAAGGCCGCGTTAAGTGCAGGTCGCTGGCAGGTAAAAGAGGCAGATAGAGGGTTTGCTCCCGCGTTGGGGCTCCATCAAGACGGAGCAGACGCAGCCCCCCTTAATGGCTGCTGTTAGTCACAGGAATGGGAGCACAGCGGGTCCTAAATCAACCTAAATAAAGTTGTTGGTCTTGTACGCACCTCTTTTGTACGCCTTGAAAATTCACAAAACAAAGCCTTGAAGTAAATTGAGTTGAAAAGTCTCACGCTAACATCCCAGTTGTATCTGCACAAGTTGGTTTACTGTGCTTTTAAACTGGATCGAATTCCTTTATTATTAAATCTGATGGATTTATAGCATAACATCCTCCATGCAGCCCCTTTTCCTTCTTAAGCGGTGGTGTCTCCCTGCTTAAATAGATCCCTTCAAAACATTACGTTCCACTGACTATTAATGTTAATGTTGCACTGACTCTTATCACATGTTTAAACATGAGGACTGGAGTAAGAACATCGCTGCTTTCGATATCCCTGGATCTATAACTTTGGGCATATATTTGGCTTGTAAACTTGGGTGTTTGGTATTAAATTGGCCAGAATAGGGGCGCAGTGAAACTGTTGATTTGTTTTTTTTTAATCGAGTCACATCTGATTACTCTGATTAAATTTGTTTTAAGAATGCATCTATTTGACCAAAATCAGATCCAGTCTACATTTTATTCTCATCATATGTGAAATATTGGCACTGATGTTGCAAATACACAAGATTATAAATTTCACAATTAATCTAATTTTCTAGACTTATAGTGTTAACTAAAAATGGAAGTTTCCGGACCCTTAATTCCAGTTATTTTGATTAATTTCTGTCTCCGTTGGTGGAATATGATGGATCCAAAGGGATTAATTTAACATAAAGAGCCAAGTCGAGTCAGGAAGGCAATTTAACTAAACTGAGGATCCAGACATCCAGGAAAAATTGATGAGAAATTAACAGATCAAGGAGGGGGGAATAAAAGCATCTGATAAGGACTGACGGAAAATAAGAAACTTAAATTCTGTGGGGAGCGTGAAAGTGAAGGATTGCAGTTGAAGATTATTGACACAGGTGAAGGGAGTGGAACTGATGGCCAACTATCAGGATCAAGATATACAAAACAAGACAGCGGGACAGCAGAAAAACAGAGGAATACTAAGAACACAGGGCCAGAAGAACAAATGACCCACTAGAAACTCAAAAGACTGGACCAGTGGAAAAGCAGCCCTTCTGATTTTTTAAACAACCTTGTAAAAAATCAGGCAGTTCGTCATAACAAAGAGTAATCAGACTTTTTTCTTCTTGGTGGAAAGTAACTGATTAAAGTAGCAGGTTAGGTGTCTGATCACATTACACAGTTACGCTCTTTCCTGTCATCCTGCATCTCATCATTTTGGCTTTACATCTAATATTAAAGTGCAAAAAAATAGAGATAGGGTAACTGATTTGGAAAAAGTTTTGCTTGGATATTAGCTGAGACATCATCTCAGTAGTGCAGACTTTGGATGCAGCAGAGGGAGGACATTGCTGGTAGTCAACGTTAAGTCTGTCTGTCTCTCTCTCTCTTCCATTTTGGCACAAAATTAGGGGTTGGGGAAAAAACAAAGAAAGGGCCATTTTATACCAGGTCGGCCAGATGTTTCTATTTTGTGTATTGTAATCGTTTCAGAACTCATACATGAACAAATTCTCAATGTGGGCCTGACTCTCCTATACTGCCCGTCCGCTCCATTCTAAAAGTTTGCGAGAACACTTCATATCGATCCCTGGTGAGACACGCAGAAAACGCCTCCCTCTCTGTGAATTAGTCACTGGACAACATCATTGCTGGGCGCTGGTCTTGCTGTCCACTGGGTGTCCGTCTGTAGAAAGCGTTGTTTTCATTTCCTTTCTCTGTGCTTTCCCGGCAGCACTCTGAGCTCGGCTCGTTTCAGCCTTCAGGGTCCTGTGTTAAAAGTTACAAAACACAACTAGAAAACATGAAAAGTGCCTCCCACAAGCATCTGTTTGGTAATGCTAGCTCAAAAATGAGCACAGGGCCCTATGTTGTCTCAGAGGCTAATGAACTGATATTTAGCTTTAGAAGTGGATGATAGCAGTTGATTACAAGCCCACTCACTACTTAAATCGGTGCACGGCGTTTGATGCCCAGCAGCTCTCTAAAACTCTTTTTCTCCCCTCATTCACGCTCTTCCTCTGTGTTTTGTCTCTCTCTTTCAGCTCTTTCTCTCCTCCAAACCTTCTGTCTCTGTGTTTGCTCTCTCCCTGGGGCATCCCTCTTTCATTTAGCATCTCTTTGTCTCCATCTGTCTCCCTGCATCCTGTCTAGCTCATCCATCTTCTTCTCTGCTTGTCTTTCAATCAGGCCGTCGCTGTTTTTCCATGACACGGCTCCGTTTTCTCTCTCCACAAAAAAAAACAAACGATTTATTCTTTTTCTCTTCTGTTGTAGTGGTCCCACGGATTCTACCTCACGCACAACCAGGGCCAGAGCGGCTTTGAGTTTTTCTTCAAGACCAAAGAGCTGAAAAAGAAGTGGCTGGAGCAGTTTGGCATGGCCATGTGAGTGTGTGTTTTCTGCATGCGTATGTTTTTTTTTGTACTGGAGCGTGCCAAGAATGCCTCTGTGTTTATCACAGCATTAAAAAAAAACACATAGCTCATCCTATTTTGCAAGTAAGGCTGCATCGTAGGGGGATGATGAAACTGAGACAAAAAAGAGCACTGACGTGAAACATCGCAATCAGAGGGCTAAGTTAAAGTGAAGTACTGTCTGTATGTTGTCAAACTGCATTAACTGGTTCTCATCCTGAACTGGATCTCCTAATGTGCCCGACTATCTGGTGTCTACAGTGACAAAGAACACCATTCATCTTCATATGTAGAGTCACAGTCGGCGTTTAACCTGTATCTGACAGTAGTTAGAGAGCTCTCTGTTTGGAAAATTTGGGAGACATTCTGACCTGTTAGTTTACCTTATGGGAAGAATGGCTGACTCTGCAACAGTAAAGGATAAACAAGAACAACTTGTAAAAGCGATTCCAGCTAACAAAACACGTGACGGACTCAGAGAACCTGCAGTCCTGCAATAGGTTTTTCCACAAGAGAGGTGTGGAATAGAACAAACCATCCACTATAGAGAAGTTTCCCCTCTCAGCTGTTTAAAATAGATAGATAAAAATGGTACTTTTATGATCCCAAACAGGGAAATGTCGTTGTCGACGGAAGCAAAATTTACTACAAACACACAAGATATTAACAGTAGCTGTTAATGTGTTAAGCTACTGTAAATATCTGTAAATAATGTAATGTATCTTGTACATTAAGATAATCTCAGTTTATCTTAATGTACAACGAAATACAATAAATAAATTGATGTCAGAAGTGGATGCATTTCTAGTCACCATGAGAAAATATTTCAACAAATTATGCACAGTGGAAAGAAAATAGTATAAAATCCAAACGATCTATGTGAGTGTGCATGATAGCAAAGGTCACAACACCAACGCATCACACGTCACCCTAGAGGCCTTTCCTCAACGGTGTTTTAGCAGCTGAAGAACAGCCTTTCCTCCCTACATCAGCATCTAAAACAGGTGTTGTCTCCTATCAGAGATATTTTGTCAAATGAACGTGTTTAGTTCCATTGATGCTTTTTACAAAACACCCAGAGCCACACAGTCCACCATTCTGTTATTATAAAAAACATATTCACTCTTAAGATGATAAATTTAACTAAAAGAAAAACAGTCCCTGCATTATCTATTTCCCTTTCTAGTACCAATAGTACTAGTTGTTGCTTACCCATAATGTAGGTGGCTTTCAAAACATGCCATACTCGATCAGAGTGTACATTTTTAACAATAAAAACCCTCCAACTTAAGTAGCAACAGCTTACCAGTTTTGTGATCAGATGTGGGCGGCTGCATTGTGTTTTGCTCGCGGCCATGTTTGACAAGCATCTTTCATCAGGTTTTAAAAATCTTTTTGTTGCTTACACTTAGTTGTTTATATTACGTTTGCATTTAAATCGACACAAATAGGGGCAGTCGAGGCACTTGTATTAAAGTGCTGAACAGGAAGCTTTTCCAAACAGCATCTTTTCGTGCCCCACATAGACCCTTCCTCATAGGATTCTCTGTTATGAAACGTTAACACCTTCTACCGGAAAAAAACAAAAAGCACGGACCGAATCAGCTTTACTTTGTCCTTGAAATATTCAAGTTTTATTACCTTTGATTGAAAAAAAACAAAAACAAAACAAAACAAAAAAATCAAGACACAACACACACATATTATGTAGGTTCACATTGTACAATGTCGCCCTGATGTCCTTCATGGTTGTCTCAAGCTTGTGTCACAAACAAATGACAACACGGCCGGTCAGCCAGTCCTTTTGTTAGGACCTCATCTTTAAAATCTGTGTAAAATTAACTAAGCCTCAGCGTTATGATTATAGCTGAGTATTACTAAGAAAAAAAGCCCTGTTAGAGACAAGGAAATAAGAGTCAGACCTGCTAGGTAGGCCAGCGTCAGTTCATTTTATGCTAAAAAAGACATGTAGGAATATTGTGATTCGTTCGACCTTTCAGCCAGAACTTTTTTAGCTGATTTATGTTTCCAACTTTCTGGCACATGATGTGCTCGTGCTGTTATTCTGTTCAGTTCAAAGTTAAGTTCAAGATTGCTTCTATCGTTTGATGATTATGATTGTGTTTTAGTCTTGATAGTCGGGCCTCATAATAGAGAGAAAGAAAAACAACGAATGGGAGCTCCAGTTCCACCTGGATGTAGCGCGGAGGGAATGGTTTTTACATTATAGCTGTAGCAGCTGCAGAGGGTAAGGAGCAAGTCAGGTCTCCAGTGCGCAAAAAAGGAGAGCAATAAAAAGAAATCTGCAAAGCAACATTTTCCGGAAAGAGCGAGGATTAAGAAGACGAGGTGTTGATCGAAGGCGGAGAAAACAGGAGCTCGTCTTCTTAACTTGTGAGGCAGGAGAATTAATGAGCTGCGAGAATAGAGAGGTGTTGCCAAACAATCACATGCTCCCACGTCGATGCTTAATAGCTGATCTGTGAAAAGCAGCTCTCGCTGGCTGCCTTTATTTTCAACCCACATGCAGATTGTACAAGCTGCGGGCAGTCCCGAAAGTCCAACTTACCACGTTTCTTAAACAGCATTGAGCGAACACTTTCTGTCAGAAGAGATGCTTTAAAATAGCTCTTCAACCTCAACCCAAAAAAGATCATTGTTTTTCATTGTCTGTTGAGTGTCATTTCATTTATTCATTTATTAAAGGTGCTATATTGTTTCATTCTCCCGGCAAACAGGCCTTAAGGTGTCATCACTTTTTTTTACCCTTTCTTCCTTTTTTTATTTGGTGTGAAAGTTCTCAGCACAGGAGAGTGCAGACAGGTGCATCCAGCACCTTCACCCTTCGCTTCTTCTCATGGAAAAGACGGCTTTCAATGCGAAATGCGTCAAACTGAAATCCAAATGCTCATTTCTTGCTGTAATACTGATATTTCAGACCTGCAAAGCTGCGCTGCCATAAGCTCAGATGTAACTGTGCGATATCAGAGGACATAGCGTCGGTTTGTTCTCAAAAACATCTGAAATACTGAATTAGCTCTGTGTGATGGTCCATCCCAGATGGCTCGGAGTCCAAAGTCCTCTGGAGACGTTTAATATGAGCAGTATACTCATGCATTTAAGTAGTGTTTGTGAACAAATTCCCTGCTCTAAGGTTTAGCACAGAATGACAGACACATTCTCCAGATTTGTCAGTTTAAGATGGTGCTTTTGATATGATTTATATAATATCAGTTATATTTATGCAAAATAAATACATTAGATTTCCTTGAGTCTGGATTTTAGCAACACAGCTTTCAGAATTTTTATAGTGAAAGGCTTAGTTCCTGAATGCTATTTTCTTTTGTGTTATGTGTTCTAGAATTTATGTATAAACTAAAAGGAAACGTGTGAGATCAAACAAGGGAGTGTTGGAAGGTCTCAGTGGTAGCTAAGGATGAAAAGAGTTGAATCCGACAACCTGATAAGCGTCCACACACAGCGAACTCACCACATTCCAATTCCAGCAACATTCTGCGAGCAGACCGTCGAACAAACTTTGCTGTTTATACGACACATCCAGGATTATGCAGCCTGATAATTTAATCGCAAAGGTGGACACTCGTTCTTGTTTCTTTATTTCCCTAACAATATTAACTAAAGGGGGAACGCATACTCCTCTTATATCAAACAACAGCCTTCTTTGGAACGGTCTCCAGCGTGGCCTGGCTTGTCCTATTTACCAGGGAACAGGTTGCAGCCCTTCACTTTGACTAATTAGCTCAGTTTCCAAGGTAACATCTGTGCATATTAAGCAAAAAAAAAAAAGAAAAAGCTACGTAAACAGTGTCATCATCACTCACTATTGCAACTCAATAAACAAGAAGGGGGAGGCTCTAAATCGGAATATACAGGAAAGTGGAATAATGTCATCCTTTCTTTCCCTGCTTCCCTCGTTGTTTGTTTCTCTCTCTGGCCTCCTCCAGCTTCCACACACACGCTGAAACACACACACGCTGAAACACACACACACACACATCTATGTCCCAAGGGGCTGAGAAAACCCTCTTGTGTTCACTTGGAGCAGGCCTTGCCTGTCTACTTGCAATTCTTCCCACATCAAAGAAGCGTTTCAGAGAAATGTTTCTGCCGCCACGGAAGAGTTTGCCTGCTGCAATTATAAAGTGGGGAAAGAAGTGTTTCTTTTTGCTTTAAAACTGACGTTTTCATCAGAGAACACGGATGCTCGGAAAGCCCGAGCAAGCCGACTAACAAGCGCAAAGTTGTTGTCGCTCTCTAATTTATGGAGAGGTAACTTTTAGGGACCAAGTCACGCAGCGCTTGCTCCTTATTTAGTGACTTACACACGGAGAAAAGCTTGCAGGGCATTGACGTTCCGTAATGAAATTCCTGAATTAGGCAGGTTTCATGTGCTATTCTATTGGGATTCTAATGTTTGTTTGTGCTCCCGTTTGTTTAGATCAAACATTCGTCCTGAGAACGCCACTAACAACTTCCACGAGTTCCGAATGCACACTTTTGAAAAAACCACCTCCTGTAATTCCTGCCACATGCTGCTAAGGTAAGAGGCCAATTATTATTCATACACATGCTCATAGCAGACACACACACACTGCAGAAGCAGAAGAAAAACCTCTTTTAAAAAATACTGCCAAGCACAGAGTGGAGGACGCGACGTGGAGTCTCTCCCCTCAAACAGCTGTCAGGAGTCCTTTGAAAGGCCTTGGCTCTCTCCGTTTGTCTCCAGTGTACCCTAACAATCTATCCGTCAGTTTGCTTTTGCTCCTCTCTTCCTCTGCATACGCGCCCAAGTTCTACAAAGTTCCTTTTGAATTTGCTGAATGGTATCGGTACCCAAAGGACTGCTCCTCGCGGCCCCTCCTCGCGGCACGAACGACTGAGTGGTTTCACCTACCGAGGACGGGGAAGAAAAATGTCTGTCACACTTCAGCACTTTTTCCAAGGCTGCCGGTGGGGAAGGGGGACAGGTCTGCTGCACTGTGCAAACACAAAGCCCGGCAGAGCATCCAAGAACATATTGTGAGGATAGAGAAGCAACAAGAAGGCGGGGAAAAAAAGAATGTTTTATCTTTTGTTTTTCATTCCAATCGGATCTGACTGATTTTGCTTTCAAAAAGACCGAGACAATTCAAAGCTCTTATCTTCCAAAAGTGTGGAGTATAGTGTCTGATTCTCAGATGTGTTCTTAGATATTGTCTCAAAAAAATCTTGACAGAAGGTCTCACTCATTAGGACTTGATTAAAGAAGATCTTCTGGTTCTCATCAGGTTCGGCTATTTTATAAACCCGCGTAATCCAGATTTAATCCAAAAATGGAGCCCATTCCAACTGTCTTTTGGCAAGACCGTGCATGGTCGACTTAAGAGTCACCAGTTAACCCATCAAACATGCTTTTGAACAGTGCAATGAAGCCAGAGAACCCAGAGAAAAACCACCCACGAACGGGAAGAACACGTGATCTGCTCCTAGAATTCAGCTGGGGCTCAGATCGGGAACCTTATGGAGAATCGCTGAACATTGCAACGTGCCGCCCTCATCAGGTTTTAAAAAATGCAGCAACTTTAACCTGAAGTGCATGCCCATCGTGACGCAGACGATTTAGCTCAATCTAAGCCAAAATTTAGCAGTGTGGGGAGCAAAAACTAAGAGTGCCCTGTCATTCGATGGCTCACAGAACCAGCTTCAATTGACCATTTCCTGCTTTCCTGTTCACAGGACATTGTTCCAGAAGTATTGCTGATGGGAATTCAGACACAGCTTTGCCAACCAAACCTTTGCTTCCAGGTTCTTCTTAGAGAAAAGCAACTTCCTCTTGGCAGTCCTTCCAAACAAGCCATACCTGTTAGGTCTCTTTCTAAGTCTGCCCTTGCTAACTTTAATATTTTATGTCTCTCCTTGGGGCGGTACGGTGGTGTGGTGGTTAGCACCGTCACATCACAGCAAGAAGGTTCTGGGTTTGAGTCCCAGAGGACTCAAACCTTTCTATGTGGAGTTTGCATGTTCTACCTGTGTCTCTATGGGTTCTCTCCAGGTTCTCCGGCTTCTTCCCAAAGTCCAAAAACATGCATGATAGGTTGATTGGACATACAAATTTGCCCTTAGGAGTGAATGTTTTACCTTGTATGTCATGTGTGTGAGGCCCTGCGATGGACCGTCCAGTGTGTACCCTGCCTCTTGCCCATTGACCACTGGGATAGGCTCCAGATAGGCCCCATTAGGGAATAAGCATTGACGATAATGCATGGATGGATGGATGTTTTTCCTCCTTGTGTTGTGTTTTTGTTGTGTGGCACAGACACCTGAATGCCTCAGGCCAGCAAACTGCCAAAACACCCCCCTTCAGAGAGGAGCCCCCCCCCACCCACCCCCCACCCCACCTGGCTGTTACTTAGCACCTTATTTCTTAAGTGGTTAGAGTGGGTTTATAGATTTTCTACCACAGATAATGACACAGTGTTATATGTCGTTGTTTATCTGATGTTGCCTTTACCTCATTTTAAAACCTGCTGAAGCTCCGAATATTCTCAGAATCTTAGCATTAGTGACTCCATTATGATTAGTTATGCTTCCACGAGGACAGATGCGTGCTAGTGTCTGCTTCATGGCTTTGTACAGCCAAACAAAATATTAGAAGAACCCTGTTTGATTAACCTGTGTGCGATTATCTGGAGATTAGTTCTTATAGATTGCCATTGGGGTGCTGTATGTGGGAAATAAATCAACTTGCTGCTCGGGGCGTAATGGAGTTTTATTAACAAAAAAATACACAACTCGGGCTCGGATTTTCTCTCAACCCCTAATGAAATGGTCTCATTCCATTCTGTTGAAAGACCTGGCACGTTGCTGTATAAATTACTCTAGTTGGTAGTCCCCAGATGTACAGTATGTGGATCTTAATGTGTTGTGATTAACTAATGGATGGAAATTTCAAATCATTACGTGGGTAGATGGGTTGAATGTACAATATTGGATGTGTGTCACAAATGTGTTTTTATATTTATCTGACTCTTGCCACTTTTTCTTGATATCTTCTAAGCTGCTGAAGGCCCCTTTTTTATTCTTCTTTCTGTACCTGGTGAAAACATTACCTTTTCACTTTCACAACAAATGACGAGCCGTTAATTGGAGAAAAGATGAAAAGGTGTTACAGTCATTCTCACATCCTAAAAACTTGTTTAAATAGAATATGAATAGAATTATATTTTTGAAGGTTGAGGTCTTTTGTCTGTTGCTTTTTGTTTTTGGGACAACCGAGTATATTTAATTGGATGCCTCCTTCTGTGTCATGAGCACGAGAGTCATCAGAGCAGAACCATAAATGTCAAAGGTCGAGATGCCGTTAAACAAAGATGATTTTTTTTTTTTTTTTTTTTACAAACGACTGGTTTGAGCTGTTTTTCTGCTCTTATGCTGCCTTGGCTGTGTTTTTTTTTTCATTATCATTATTCTTGTTGTTCCATTGTCTGCAGGGGCATCTTTAACCAGGGTTACTTATGCTTCAAGTGTGGCTTAGGAGCCCATAAGGAATGCCTTGGTCGCTTTGGCTCCTGCGGAAAAACAGGTAAATATTGCGCAACCACTTCAGTCACATTCAGCCTGCAACACTCTTAACTATCACAAAGACCTCAAATCTGATGGGACAAGGCTTTTTTTTTTACTGCAGAATATGCCACGGCTGCATATAAAAGCGCAAGCCCAAATATCCTGAGACAAATATGGATGATTTGCTGCTGTGTGGTGTTAAAGACCTACATGGTGGCACTATAAAGAAGATATGGGACTAGAGTGTGGCTTTTTGGGAATTCCTTAATCTAGATAAGAATTTTATATACGTTATTATTTTAAGGTCACCCCTGCCCCAGAAAGCTTTCCCCCGTCTCCCTGGGTGGTTTTGACACTTCAGAGCACCTGAAAGGGAATGTCACTGCCTGTCGCTACACACATCCCCAAAGCCTAATAGTAGTTTTACCGAGGAGTTTTAAGAAACCACAGACTTCTTTATTATGCTCCTGTTGTGTATCAGTCACTCAGCTCCCTGTGCAGGCACACTGACAGCTTTGAGAGCTGCGTGATGGAGGAAAAACTTCAGAAATGTGGAATGAAAAAAGGAAAAAAGGCCTTTAGAAACCAGCTTAGCGTGTCTCCTGCACATGTGTGTGTGTGTGTGTTTAGGAGAGGGAGGGTGTCACAGGAGCGTGAAGAGGTGAAAAAAAAGCTCCATTCTTTTTTTTGATTTTGTGGAAGTTTGCGAAGTGCTGGAATATGTCGTCACCGCACTAAAACTGTGCGGCGTTTTTAACGTTTTTAAACCTGAACCATTCCCCTGACACGGCTCGGACCCGGTGCACCACCTTGTTTTAGGTCCCAGCTGAAGACTGCCAGACCCACTTGGACCTGGCATCTGTCTTGGAGCCGTCAGGCCTCAGAGGCAGTAGTACCGTTCCCAGGCCCACTTTTGCACTGAGGAGATTGGGCATGACATCTGCAGGCAGCACAAATTTGTGTCCGAATTTGTCCTCCTGTTAGCCGCGGTGCCGGTGCAGGAGCCCGAGCCCTGAATCGATGTCGTACTCAAGGCTTTAAAGATACTTGAACTTCTAATGTCCCTTTTCCTGACCCCAGTCCTCAGGGTGTACAGGCCTGCAAATTTCCCACCTACAGCTCACCTGATTCAAATAGAGATGTCTTCTCTGCAGAGCTTTAATTAGGTGTGCTGAAACTGGGGAAACTTTGAAAACATGCAGGACTGTGTGCCCTGAAGGGTTGGGGAACGCTGTGCTAATGAATGAAAGATGTAACCTCATTGCACCACATGTTCTTTTGTCGTCCCTTTTCCCTCGTTTCTAAAAAGCGGCACTGTGAACAACAACAAAAAGAGACGGGTTGTGCAATTAAAAGTGAGGAAAAAGTATTTTGTACATTAGTGCAAGTCCAAATCACTGCACAGTTCCTCCCTGTGTATGTGTGTGTGTCTGTTTTTTTTTGCGCAGGTCTGTAAGGGACCGATAAGCCACAGTTTACCTGCGTTTATCTCCGTTATCGCCTCTCTCTGTACGTAAGCACAGCGGGTCAAGGTTCGCTTTGGGAACAGCAGGCTCTGCCGAGAGAGAGAGGGGTGTGTGTGTGTCTGTTCTGCAGGTACAGAGCACATATTTGTGGCTTCGTGCGCTTGTGTGTGTGTGTTTATGTAACTGTTCTGTTAGCGCAGGTAGAGAGGCGTGTTTGTGCGCTCACAGGTGTGCAGTTGTGCGTGTCGAGGGGGCGGAGGGGGGTGTAATCCGTCCCTCAGGGAGCCAATGAAAGGAAGCGTCAGAGCAAAAAGCACAGATCTGCCTCCACCACCCCCAAACCGCCGACAACCCCCCACCCCCACCCCCTGCCTCGTTACACCCTCTATCCCGGCTGTCAGGTAGTGGCAACGCAGCAAAACAAAGCAAGCCGCGGTCAGAAACGGCCGTCCGCCTTCTCCACTAATGAGGGAGTGTTGCCTTGTAACGATGAGTGCGTGCAAGTGTTTACGTGCACCCGCTAACCCGTCATTCACCATGCCTGTTCTCACACTTCTTTCAGATCCCGACTCCGACAGACATCAGGTGAGCTGCCGCTGTGTGTGTGTGTGTGTGAGTGCGTGTGTGCGCTGTCTGTCTCCGTCTGCCGCTCGCCCGCTCCTCAAAGCTTTGCTGCACTTTAAAGGGCTGCAGCTCCCCTGCCAAGGAGACTCCAATTGGCTTTGGCTGCCCGGCGATGTCCGATGGCAGAAGCAAAAAAATGTTTAGGAAGATATTCTCGGAGTTTGCCTATGAAAAGTCTGAAATAAAAACCACTGCAGAAAAAATAATGAGAAGCCGTTGCTTTTCGCTGTAAGTGCCATGTAAAGTGCTCAAGATGCAACGCACACACAGAGCGTGAATGAGCCAGAGTCCTGGTCTGATATTGACGATGGAATCAAGAACAGATGCTTTGCTCTCTGCAGATTTTCTTTCTGCTGCACTTTAAAATGTGCAGCCCGGTTAATAATTACGGGTTCGGCCACGAAATATGAACTACATGATTTGGGCCGGCGCAGAATGTCTGTTAAAATTGTGTCCTCACTGCGCACATTTCAAAGAAGGGGCCTTCGTCCGTTTATGTGAATATAATAAAACAGAATGATGCACATGGGTTTACATTTTTAACCATCTGTGTATGTCTTTTCACAGGGCAGGGATCAGGATTCAGGTGAGAGATTCATAACTGGACGCATCCTCTCTCTCCTTTGCACACATCGTTCTTTCTCCCTACCCCATCTTGTTTTTTTTCCATTTGTAAAAGCAGACTGACATCTATTAGACAGACTTCCTGATTTTTGGCATTCGGCCTTGACACTAACCACGCTGCATGCACTTTGTGAAACTTAGCTTCAAATACGCACCATGTTATTGAAAAAAAAAAACCCATAATGAAAGTTAGGTTCAATCTTTTCCAATTAGCTTCAGTCTAAGGCTTTGATTGATTCTTGTTTTCCCCTTTTTCTCTCTCTTTTTTCTTTGAAGCCCCATAAAAAAGTTCAACCAGGCAATGTGTAGTTACAAAACGTGTTTGGCAGGGTTGGCTGTTGGCAAGGCATCACACTGTTCCATCCTCTGATCAGAGTTAACCTTAGTCAGAGAGGATGGCAACCTGGTTGTTTGTAATTGTAACTATACATGCCTCCTACAGACTTAAATAAAACACGTACCACTTTGGGTTTGTGTGAATACGGCCACTGTCATCCTCTTTAACTCTGGGAAAACTAAAACACAGCATCCCTGAATGTGTGTGTGTGTGCGCATCCACTCTCCACAGAGGGCCTTTAATCGCTTATAAGCCTGACTTCAACACTCATTTTTCCACCCCTCCATCCATTATGCTGCAGAAAATGATTTCTGACTGAAGACGCATTAAAATCAATAGGCATTTGATTGCCCTGGCCCTTGGCGTTTTATAATATTTCAGCGTTTCTCTCTTTGTCTACTTTCAAAGGTGCACAAACACAAGGCTTGTCCTTGCATGGATAGGAATGGAATTCATGCCCCGGAGACTCAATTCTCCATGGGTCTGTGTCTTTAGAAGTCCTATTGAGGCGAGATTGCACATGTGAGGCTCCAAGCCACAGCGCAGCCGCGCTGGAACAGGCTGACAAAAGCAGTGCATATATAGATGTTTTAGCTTTCAGTACAATGTTGTCGACTTCCCTCTTATTTGCCTTAAATTTTACCTCCTCCCTTATTTTTTCTAAAGCACAATTTTGCACAATATATATATATACATAGTATGCACATTAAATTAATTTGTGCATCTGTGTGTTTTGGTTTTTTCTTATAAGATGAAATTTGAATTCATTTTCTGCTTTGTATGGAAAATCTGTTTAAATTTAGCTCTTTAAAAAAAGAAATATAAACACACACTAATCACTGATATTATACAAGAAAAACGTCTCAGCTTGTTGAAAATGTTTTTAACCGGGACGTACAAACTTTCCCTACTGTGAAAGAGTCAGCAGAGGTTATTGTAGCATTTTAATGGAAAAGTATCTGGGCCTGTACAGTTTCCAAGTTGCAAGCTTTAAAAAAACAACAACAAACAGAAAAAATATAAAAACTGTACTGCGTTTCCTCAGGAACAGGGTGATGCATTTAAGGCTAAAACTTTCCTTTGAGCTTCCCAGCAGGAGCGAGAAAAAAATCAGGAACCAAATCTTGCTCCTGCTTATCTTTTATCAACCTACAGACCTAGATAAACCAGGGTGCACTGCGTCTTATCTTTAGTATGAAAATGAATCACGAGTCCAGCTGAAATTTAGTGGGTGTTCGCTGCTGAGAAAGCCGTGTGTTCCAGTTTGTGTGTGCACATGTGCTTGCTGCCTCTCATTACCATCTGTAATGGAAGCAGTGAATGGTTAAGCTGAGCAAAGACGAGTCCTTTGAATATTATGCATGCATTGCAATTGGCTCCAAGACAAAATCCAAGAAAATGATGGGGAAGGACTCAATTTTCTGCCCTGTTAATTTGTTTAAACTCCCTGATAGAAATAGTCAGATAAGTAAGATGCATTACCTTTGTTTAAATCATATAAAGCTGTCAAAAAGATAAACAATTTGGACAGTGAGCATCTTAGACTAAATGTCCTGTTTGCAAAAATAATGAATCATAATTGCCACATATCAAATGTACTGACGTTTTTCTCTTTGCACACAGTGTGCAGGCACTAATCCTGTCTCATTGCATAGGGCTGCTCAGGGTGTGTGTAATCAGGAACTACTTTGGTGTGCCGAGGCCTGCGTCCGGCCCATCGCTCAGCATCCACATCGGTGACATCATCGAATTAATCTGCCCCAACCCCAGCAACACCTGGTGGCAGGTCAGACTTCATCTCTTTCTCTTGATGCCTTCTTTTACCATGTCCAGAAAAAACTAAACAAAATAAACCTGAATCAGTGACACCTAATTCACTATTAAATGAACATTATTTACCTGATGATCTGCTGTGGAGGATTTCCTTTTTGACTGCTCAAAGGCAGTAATTACTGGGCTCATCTGGAGGATAAACTTTATTTAGAATATATAACATTAAAAGATTTGTAATAATTAGACACGCAATATGGAAATCCAGGATATTTCACCAGATGGAATAGATAAGGAATTCAATTAACGGGGTGTGAAAGCTTTAGTGGAGGCAGCCACAGCCCCACAGTTAGCAAACATTCAATATCCATCTCCTCCGCAGCCAACAGTCCATAATCATTTCTGTTCTGGGGGCATGTGACAAACAGAATCGATCACTGTAATTCATTTCGCTCTACAGCGACCATGCGCTGGCTTTGTCTGAATTTGCAGCTCTAATCTTTATCAGACTCTTTAACGGGGGAGAAGCCAAAGTGGAACAGAGGATAAGGATAAGGTGTCCGCTGCTTTCATAGATATGAGACTGGTTGACTTCAGCCATAAAGCAAGCTCAGCTGGGAGTCTGTAGTGCATCTCCGAGAGGATGCAAAAAATAAACATTTGCTCCCATACTGCAAAATATGAGCCGACTCAGGGGCCAGATTTACAACGAGGAGCCTCTGAAACAGCTAAATCTGCCAGAGTCACAGGGCAGCTGAGTTATGGTCCAATGGCACTCCAGCTGCTGGCGGGCTTATTGCTCTGCAATCACTACTGTAAGTAAGCACTACATTAAGTTTAACACCCGAACAGGTCTCAGGCTGTGAGCCTGCATTTTCAGAAACTTCTTTTGAAAAATAAAAAAACACTTTTATTTGTTGTTTCTAAGTATACAACTTCCACGAAACAGGTTCAGTTCCTTCTACTCAGATCCAGTCCAGCTCAGAATAGTTTATGATCGCCTAACCGATTCAATATATATTGGCTTGGTCCAGTTCATTACCGCTCGATTCATTGGGTGCCAAATTAAAAAGGATTGCATCAACTTCCATCTCTGTCCATGCTTCAGGAAAAAGATTTTTATTAAGTGTTACAGTTACTAAGATGACCTTAATTTTCCCCTGTATCACACAGTTTACCACTCTTCCTGGGATTTGTTTCCACTCGTGGTAATTGCACACAAATAATCCCAAAAGATTGTTTTCCATAGATTGTGATTGAATCAAACACTGCATATTCTTTCTTTACAACAGTGCAATTCATTCCTTAATGGTGATCATTAATAGTTACTAGAGCATTCGGGTCCGTCAGAAGGACTAAACTTCACCAGAAAACTCCCTGACTCCTTTTATGTGAGCTCGGCCTGTCTGCTGTTGGTAAATCACTGCGCTGAGCTTTAAGAGCCGTCACCCTGAGAGGAATAACGAACTCATCCTCCTCCCAACAGGAATGATTTCCACAATAGTTAACGGCCTCTGTGGATTTTTGCTAATTGCTCCTGACTGAAAGATGCGTCCATGGTCAGACATACATAACACAATTATCTCTCCCTGTGGTTTCAGGGCAGGATCCTGTCGACCGAAGAAGTTGGCTTCTTTCCAAGAGACGCCGTAAAGCCCTTCCGACCCGTAAGCAGATTTTCCTTCCATTCCTGCTAGTCCTGTAAATGCAACGTATGTTTGGCTTATCGTGGTGGGATGGGATGGTGAATGCCAAGTTGAGGTTGGGGCATTTACCTGGCGGCAGGCAGAGAAAAAACAACCCATGGATTTTTGTGTTTTTAGCATGCAGTTTTTTTTTATGAGAATTAGTTCTGATCCGTTCACTGTCATCTAGGAAAGAAGACAAAGATGATAGGAGACGCACAAAAACACAGTAGAGGAAGAAACTTTCGCCTGTTTTGTTTGTCTCCCCTTTTTATTGCCATGCTCCTTGCGATAAAGAGAAATTCAGACTGCCCAGCCTGGTCAGGAATATGAAGCTTCCAGCTGATAACAGACTGCTATCACCATCTCACCCGTCTGTAAAGATAGTGAGCTGAAAGCTGTTTTATTGAGGTTTGGATGATGTAAAAGCAGCTGTTGTGGAAAAAGAGCTTAATAAGCTTAAAAACAGCGCCGTGAAACCGGCGCTGAGTGCCTGCTTTTATTCTTCTGTTTTTGTCTGCTGTCAGATAAGCCAGTCTTTGGTGTGAATAACAGACACGTGTCCAATTTTTGCCCTTTGCCAGCAGGATCCGAAGCCCGTCGATTACTCCTCTCACCCATGGTACGTTCACAAAACACCCATTTTATTTTGTATTTATCTAAACAAACTGACTATAAAACTAAATCTTAGCATCAGATGCCATGAAGCCTAGAAGCCTAGAAGTCAATGTAGTCGCCATCGGTAGTAATGAATGGCTACAGACAGCCACTCCTCAGGGAATTATGCACACAAAGAGCTGTTCTGTCGTCTTCAGCTGCTTTTGTTGTGGCTATTGTAGGTTTGCAGGTCCCATGGAGAGGCTCCAAGCTGAAGCAGAGCTCATCAGCAGGGTTAACAGCACCTATCTCGTCCGCCATCGCAGCAAAGAGTACTCGGAATATGCCATCAGCATAAAGTAAGTTCATTATGCGACGGCTTCTTCTTTTATTCGAGGCAGATGCTACGGTTATTATTTAGATGTTACTCGTCCACGGCTCCATTTCTGAGGCCCAATTCTATAAATAGAACAGGATATCTACTCAGATCTCTCTGCAGGTGAAGGATGAATAATAAACTCTCTCAGTCTGGGACGCTAATGCTGAATAGTCTAATTGTTCTCTTATTATTTTTAGGGGAATGTTGTCCATGGGTTGATGTATGAGATGAAGTCATCTTGTACCTTTGCTACTCTCTCTCTCTCTAATGGGTAAACAGTAACTTGCAGCTGGATTTTTGTACATAAAAGAAGCAGTTGTTGCAGCTGTGTTGCTGACAGTGCAACAATGTGAATGACTGCAGCATTGTGCATTCCCCCATCATCCACCTTGTTATTGCAAATACAAACATCCAGCACGGGGGGGAGGCAGTTCCACACACCCGCTGCAGACCACCCATCATTCTCATGTCACAAACCTTTGGGACTGCTGCATTAGAGGAATGGCCCAGCTCTCCACAAGGGCCAGAGGCCGGCCAACCGATCGATGGTGGTGATCAGAGAGGGAAATTACACTCATAACTTATTCAATGGCCCACAGGTACAACAACGACGTGAAGCACATAAAGATCCTGACCAGGGAGAGCAGATACTACATCGCAGAGAACAAGAAGTTCAAGAGCATATTAGTGAGTCTTTTCATCCTTTATTTTACTTTATTTTTCTAATTCCACCACCGCGATTCATAAAAAAGTCATCCTGCGCACTTAATGATGTGTCAGAGGCTGAATTTTATTTAAGCAATGTGCGAAAAATAGCCCTGATTACAGTCACTTTTATACTAGCCTGAAGGCTTCGGCATGGTAGTCCGTAAGCCCAATGCATTATTAAAAGGATTCCTTGTTTTTTTTTCTCTCTTTTTTTTTTGTAATGCTCAGACTTTCTTAAGTCCAGTTTAATAATAGAATTCCATTATGTCCTTTTAAACTCAGATAGCGTGATAATTGTACATTGAAATAACTGTGGCCCTAATTGATTTCATGTTCCACCGATACGACTCTTGTAACCATTAAAAAAACCCAACAACATTTCAGTGGTTTTAGGAACAAGTTCTCAAGAGAAATGACCCACCCCATAAATGAAAAGGGCCGATTTTGGGGGGGCTAATTGAGGTGTGTTTCTGTGGACAGGAACTGATTGAGTACTACAAACACCACTCCCTGAAAGAAGGTTTTAAGAGTCTGGACACCACGCTACAGTTTCCTTACCGGGAACCGGAAAATGCTGCTGTGCATCGCTTCAACCGATCTGGCAGCAACAGTGAGTACATCAATACTTACTAAGAATGCAGCTGATCTTTGAAAACATCCCAAATAAGATGACGTTCCTTCATATCAATCAATTGCAACTGGATACTAACATCTTCCTCTTGTTGAGAGGAGGGTTAGATTTGTTTTTCATTTCAAATTAAGTTCAAGTGTTGTAAACCATTTACATTTTTTAAAACTATGGCTGTAACATATAGTTAAATATGGGTAACTTTGAGTTCAAGGGTTTTTCTCTAGTGTGTCTACATGCAAAACAGAGAAAACAGCAAAGTGGGAACTTTCTGAAGCTAAAAATAACAAAAATGTACCATTTCTTCTTCTCAAATCTGCCTTGGTGATTACTGACAACCAGTTTGTTCCCATATTGAAGCTTTCCTCAAAACTCCACCAAACACGGCTTAGATGCACTTAACACGATTTGTTGTTACGGCTCCCCCGCTGTTAATTGTTTTTGACTCAAAAGCCATAAAAAAAGAGTCCTCTGAGCGCTTTCCAGCTCATCAAAATATAAAAAACTAGTCATTTTCAGGATAAATATTTACCCAAAATAACATAATCAACTCTTCAACAGCCCACTTACTTGATATAACTATTGTTATTATTGACTATGTATGATAATTATTATGATGTATGTATAATTTCAACTGTAAAAATATATTTGAAAAAACAGCAAAAACAAGAATTTAGGACTGCTTTTTTTTTTTACATGGCAGACTGCCAGTTTTTTTATCAGCCGGTCAACACGATTTTTAAGCCACCGAAACGTGGCAAAAATGCAAAAATTAGTTTTTTCAAAAACTTGTAACAAAAAAACAAGAAAAACATTCAGGTGTTGTAGCAGTTGAAAGGAGTCATTTTTTATGTCCGCAGGTGAAACTTTACAGAACGTTGTTCGTGCTGTGATTTGCTCTTTGATGGTTCAAGGAGTTCCGCTGCCTTTTTTCCCCCCCTACCTGCGTAAACATGAAGCCTCCGTGCACATACCACATACTGTGCACATACGCGCCCTCTGACAAAGCAGCTGTTGTCGAGCTGACCCTGCGACTGTGTCAGCCGTTACCCCGTTTAACCTGATTTCTCTCCGCGTTTGGCTTCTATTTCTCAGCCAACGACGATTCCCAGCGAGACACTGGGTTAACAGGTGTGGGATGTGTAACTCCGAGCTGAGATTTTTAATGAGATGATGTTTTGGAGCGAAGCGCCGGATGAAACGGCAGAGCTTTGTCAAAGTGCCGACTCAGAGCCGTGTGAAGACGTTTCTGTGACAAAGTGGATTTTGCAAGTCGAAAGAAGATGAAAGAGGTTACAAAGAGGCAGAAAAGGCAAAGGAAACAAGCCTTTATGTGTTCTCGTGTTTGCTTTCAATCATTTTTACTCTCCGTCTCATTGGCTCATCTAATGTGAGGAGATCGTGTGGTTAAAGAAGCAGTAAGAGGGGTAAATGGTAACCTCACAAATGTTTAAAGAATACGCTCCAAAATGTGCATGCAGCAAATCAATTACTTTTGTTATTCCTCTTTTTCTCCATTCCAAAATCTAAATGGCTCCCGTTTTGATTCCCATCCACTCCCAGAGCACTGCTGGGTAGCTCCTAATTAACATCCGTGCTGCTTTTCTGTTTAGTGCACAGCTTCATGCGAGTCTGAACCCACACCAGTGTAACTGGGAACGAAAACAAACATGGACCAACCTCAGTTGACGGTATGCGCGGGACTCTAGGCTGGTAGTTGAATTCTAAACACCTCAGGGTCATCTCCTCATATAACGAAAATAAAAATGTCAAAATCAAGCTTTTAAAATGCATCCAGGCTTGAAGAGGAGGGCGTTCTCTCTTTGTAATGCTCGCCATAGAGGTTTTGATTAGTATTCGTTACAAAAGAAAAAAGAAACACACAAGCTTTATATCCGTACAGCATATAGAAATCTAACTGTATTGTTTCGGAGCATAAGTTGGAGAAGAAATTTTACGATTTCAATTTCCAGTAGCTGAAACATGATATCTGGGTTTACTACTTTATTTTAACAAAAGGATGCCGTGCTATATATGGCTAAACGTTAGCCGTATGTAGCATTATGTAGCGGCTAGTCTTTACGTATTCCACATAAACAACCTTTAGTATTTAAATCTGTAGGAGATAGGAACAAAGAGATCACAGTAACACTTGCTTCGCCTTTCCTCTTCCTCTTCACATGTTGCTGAGTCCTTTCATAAAAAATTCCAACAGTCATTTTACAGAACAATCTATATCATGTACGAAAGAGTTAAACACTCAACTTCCATATGAGTCCACTGACTTTACTGGACTCTCACTGAGCTACAGAAAGATCCAAAGATACTTCCCTGCATTGCTTGAATCTGGGGTGTCCAACTCCAGTCTCTGTCCTGCAGTTCTACAGGTTTCTCTGCTTAAACACACCAGATCTTGATTGAATGTATCAGTTCAAAGGCTCTGCACAAGCCTGATAATGGCACAATGACATGAATCGGATGTGTTGAAGCAGGGAAACTTCTAAAACCTGCTGGACAGCGGCCCTTGAGGGCCAGTTTTGGACGTCCCTGGCTTACATGAATTAATGAGAACCCGAGACGCCAATTGTTTTGCGGTTGGACCAGATCCTCGTCCGCACACAGATAGAAACGCACAAACTAAAGAAAAGTGAATCCTCTGCGGTGGGTGTTTTTGTGACTGAACCACGTCAGGGTTTGTTTAAACCCAAATTAACTAACTTCTATCAGACTGGGGGGAGTCTTTACATGACATTTGGAGCCTTGTGCTCACCGTCAAATGGCACCCCTACCTGCATGACAGTAGCATAAAACAGGCATATAGAACAGGATGGATATCAGCTTCAAAATCTTAATAGAGGATGTTTTAGTGTGACCTCGAACCTAGTTTCCCCTGGAGCCCCCAGTGTCCTGGCAGTGCCCGTGTTTGGTACAAAAACCATGACACATTGACTTTCTACCGTTTATTGCTTTGAGGGTTTTTTTTTAAGAATCTGAATAATAACACTGTCACAGAGTCGAAGATAAGGAGACCTTAGAGTCTCTCTGTTAGTTTGGGCTAACCTTTCAGCCGCTGGTCCTCCTGTTTTTCTTTTTTTCGGGTGGAGCGGGGAATAACAACACGACCTATAAAAACTTGAAGAAACAACGAGCAGAGCATTTGCTGTGACTTCCCAGGCAGCCTCTAAACCAGCAGCAGTTTTTTAATGACTGCAATTTCAAAGTTCGATCTTCCTTGTTTAAGTTAAAAATTTAGATTTCTAATTAAAGCACACGAACCAGGCAAAACGGCGTAAACACTTTGGAGGGCACAAATTAATGAAGTGCCGAAAACGAGCCGAGGAGAGCCGCTCCTCGTGGCTGTGTGGATGAACCACCGCACTTTTCCCGCTCCATTCATTTTTTATCGAACCGGGGCTGTGTTCTTCATCCCTCTGAAAAAAGAAAACCCCAGATTTGTAATTTTTAAAAACGTTTTTTTTTTTCTCCTTTGCTTCTCTCTCCTTCCACCACTCGCATCCCTCCGCTCCCCGCCCGGCCCACCCCGCCATAGCTCCATTGCTCTGCGGCCTCTCTCTTGTAACTCCTGCCGGCTACAGCTTTGTACCTCCTTCCTCTGCTCCCTTCTGGTCAGGTACAGGTATCGCTTCTCTCCGCCTGTCTAACTCTCAACTTCTGTCTCTCCTTTCTTTTCATGTTGAAGGTTGCTTGGCATGCCGGCGCTTTCACAATCATGGCATGAGTCTCTGCTCTTACTTTCCCTCACATCTGCTCTATTCATGGCTGTGTGTTCGCTTGTCATCTCGTGGGGAGAAAATTGAACCTTTGCTCTACCGCCGCATGTTGGGAGTCTCCGCTTTGTGCTCGTGTGTGGGTTTCTTTTTTTTTCCTTTTCGTTGCATGTACACTCCAGTGAGTGAGGCAGAAAGCGAGCCCTGTGCGTGTGTGTGTGTGCTCCTGGGTCTGTCTGTCAAAGTAAAGGTGGAAGTGTCCAAATACACTGAGTTCCTCCATATTAGATATTTCCTCCCCGTGGCCAGGTTGTAGAGGTCTGACATTCCATTTCCACCTGTCAGCTCCAGCCCAGGCCGACCCAGCAGTGGGTGTCTGGAAAGGAGGAGAGCCGGTAGGGCGGGATGGAGCGGTAACTAGCTAACCTGCTCCACATCTGTCTCTCACGCCGCCGTTTCCCTCGACGGGAGACATGTAACCCCACACACACTGCTGTCAGAACGCTCAACGGACTGCTTCGGCTAAAAATCCGCGCAGTATGGCAGCGTTCTGGGAAAAAAGGCTGCACGCCACCTCTTATGGCGAGGCGCCCCAGATGGAGGCAGCAAATGTGTTAGGACGTACATGCTGACGTCTCACTGCCAAAGGCAGCATATGGGTACCGCCAGCTATTTGTGTAAGCATTAGAAAGATATTTCAAAGGCAGGACATCAAAAGCTTGACTCCTGTATGTTTGTTAAGGGGGATAGTTGTGAGACTTTATGTGTGTCAATGTGGAGACATTCAAATGCCTCATCCTAATACACTACCGACTGTGTGTGTCTGTGTGTTTTTTTTCCCCTCTCTCTCTCACTCTGCAGTGTTTGCACCCAAAGTGATCGGCGTGGCCATAGCGCGGTACGACTTCAGCTCCCGGGACACTCGGGAGCTGTCGCTGCAGGAGGGGGACGTGGTCAAGATCTACACAAAGTCCGGAGCCAACGGCTGGTGGAGGGGCGAGGTGAACGGCAGGGTGAGTGGTGTCGCCAGGGCATCGTAGCGACGCCTCGCTTCATTAGATCCAGTACTAAAAAACCATTCCGTTCACTCTGTGGCTCGGGTTTCAGACGTTTTTCGGTGCCTTTTTTCACCGAAATGGCTCTAAAGCCTGCAGATCTGTAAACACTTGCTTCAAACGCCCACAGCTCTCTGCTAAGAGACTGTGGAGAAATGTGCAGTACGCACCGGCGCACACTTAGATGCGCTTTTTTTATTTTTTATTTTTTATAGCTCGGGGGGGGTTGGGGTCTCAGAGCGTGCGTTTGTCATTCTCTTTTCATAGCCTGTGTGTTGATGATGAGAGAAGAGTCTGTGGAGAGCTGCTGGCCTCTCCTCAGGGCCCTCTGTGGCACTCACAGATGAAAACAGCTGGATTTACCACGGGTAGCGCCATTAATTCAGGTCACTCAGAACGAAAAGATTTCATGTTTTATAGGGGTGTTTTATACTGCTTTAGGGTGTCATAATGATGTTATTTGTCTTTTTTTCCCCAGATGATTCTTTAGTGTTTTATTTTACACAAGTAATAATAAACATGATAAGAATAAGGCTGTTGATGGGTGTGGACGCCTGCTAACTCTGTCACATCAAAAAACAATGTAAAACAAATATTGGGGCCACATTTCACAAACACAAGGAAAACAATACGAGAAAGGCTGTCCCCTAAACAGAACTTTTTTTTCCTTTTTCCATTTTTTTTAGCTTCTAGGAAACCTATGTTCTGTTTTTAACGGCGATATTCACTGATGTGCAAATCTTTTTGGCGCCATTAGCCACTTTTTATTTCTGACATTTCCCCCCTTATGTTTTGATTTATTCAACGTTTTTTCCCCTATCCGCAGGTCGGCTGGTTCCCATCCACATACGTGGAAGAGGCCGAGGAGTGAAGCGTTCCGGCGTGGGATGACATGTAAAATGAAAGGCAGGGAGCGGCGGGAGCCTCTGCGCGGTGGCGGGCGCCTCGCTCTGCCCCCGCCGTTGCCTAAAAGCCATCCCAGAGGCCTTCGGTAGAGAAAAAGGGCTACAGCACGCTGCAGATGTCAGGGTGCCCCGTCTGTGTGGATCAGCCACTCCGCCAACAAGCAGCTTGACTGTCAGCGGGGAGCAGGCGCTCGCCAGACACTTCCCGTTTCCCTCCCCGATTCCTCCGTCCATCCATAATTCATCCCTCGCTTTCCTGTCGGCCCCAACCTCTTCTCCTGCTTCCTCCCGCCAGTGAACGCATCTCCTGCATTCACGCGCTCGTCCATCCATTCGTCCTTCCATCAACTGTGTGGGAATGGAGTCTTCACAGTGCCGCTGGAGCCCCCCCGCCCCCCCAATGTGCTGAAAACGTTTTTGTTTTTCTGCGTCTTTCATCCCTTTTTCCACCCTCAGGGGATTTCTCTCAGCTTTGACCTTCCCTGTGTGTGTGTGTTCCTGTGTGTTTTGGTTATTGACAACTATATGACCCAGATTCATTCACACACGCCGCCCCCCCCCTCCAGATTATTATCACCACACATTCTCACTCTCCTTCTGTGGATGGAGGAGAGGGATGGTGTAGGAGAGCATCGCTGCACAGTGCCAAGGATTGATTGCTGTTGTTCCTCTTTTCCGCCCTCCTCCTCCATCCTTTATCAGCACACCCGGCCTATCGCACTTCTTGTTTTGTTTTCGGGCCGTCTTCGGCTGTGAGCGATCCTCAGCTCTTATCGAACGGCAGCTCTGTCAACAAGCGCCACGCTCGCCGAGGGGTTTATCAGACCAGAGGCATTAGCGGCTCGTCCAGGAGCAAGCTGCGCTATCCGGAGGTTTCCATTTGTCTGATGTGACGGTTCCTCACAACCAGACACCAATGAAAAACTGAAAAAAAAGAAAAAACAGAAAGTGAAATCAGCTTTAAGATTTCCTTAGTGGTTGGCTATTAAAAGTGCTGTTTTTTTATTTTATTGACAGAATCTTCAGTAGTTTTAAAAAAAAATCTGTACAGACGGTTTTATTCAGTGATTTCAGCGTTGGCTACACACAAAAATATTTGAACTGTATACGATTTTTATTTATTTATTTATTCATTTTCAGTTTTGCATCCCTGTTTTACCCTACGAAAAGGAAGGAGGGAATTGTGTTTTTTTTATTTTCTTTTAAGCTCATTTGAAAATCGAACTTTTAAGATAAAGGAAGCTGTTTTGTGGCAAGCTTTTCTCCCTGATAGTGGCGTTCTGGAGACATGTCGTCTTTTCATGCTTATATTTGAGAATAACTATTAGCCACCAGCCAGGTCTGTCGCCCTTTTTTTTTCTCCCCTGGTCATATTTTTTAATTCAATTCAATTCAATTCAATTTTATTTATATAGCGCCACATCACAACAACAGTTGTCTCACAGCGCTTTTTAGGCTCTGGAAGGCATAAATGAGCCCGAAAGAATGGCACCTCTCTGTTTTGCTCTCCCCACTTTGAGCCCCTCTGCTGTGTTATTATGGGACCACTAGATGGAGGCATCCTAAACAAATCTCTCCATTTTAAAACGGTTGCCTTGGACGTGTTAAAAGTCTCGTAACGATGTCACCTGATTAGGAGGTGTGCGCAAGTATACAGCCTCAAAACACAAGTAAAAGCATCCAGTAAAAAAATTGTAAATTGCTTGTAAATGAAGAGTCTGTTTAAACGGTGTCGGGAAGCCCGGGATGGCATTCCCTCTGGTTTTCTGCTTCCGAAACCTTAGTTCGGAAGCATTTGTGATATCTTTAGAAAAGTTTTTGTGGACCTTTTGAGCCCCATTCTTCTTTTTTGGGGAGCATACAAGTCAGAGCAGGTTCTCTGATGGCAGATGCCACTAATCAACTGCGGCTCTCCCTCATCCTCCCGGGTGAACTCTGACAGCGTGGCTACAACCAGAGGCAGGTTTTCACCACCCTCTGCACTCTTTTTTTTTTTTTTGCACGCAGGAGAGACGGGTGCAAGGCTCAAGGGTATCTGTGATCTAATCATTACACCATCCCCTCACCTCAGCGACCCCTGCGCATTCATCTCTCTGTCGGCCGCCGTCTCTTTGGCTCTATCTCACTGTGTCACTTCTCTCTCTTTACGGCCCTCTCTCCCCATCCATCTCTCATCCAATCTCTGTCTCCTCCGTTTCTGTCTGCATTCTGTCCCTCACCCTCCGCAGACTGTAAACTCCACTGCTAAGCATTGGCGGAAGCAGAAAGAAAGATTCAATATTATAGGAGGACCAGGGGGAGAGACAAGCGATCTGTCTCTGAAAAGATAATGAGTGGTCTAATATTCCATTTATCCTCAACTTACAACAGCAGTCAGAGGGTGAACCTGATTTTTTCCTTTTTTTTTTTTTTTAATCCCACCGTATGCAGATTGATGTCTTCATTCTTCAGCAAGCATACATGAGGAAAAGCATTTAGACTGAATTCAGGCTGGATTCAGCTCATCAAACCGATACACTCCTGAAATTTTATTTTCTGTGTCTTGACTGATTTTTTTAATTCAATGCTCCATGTGGATGCTTTGTTAAGTTATGATATTAAGCCAAAGATGTACGCTGTACTTACTGTGCTCTAAATGTTTTGTCTCATATACCACGGTACCGAACCGCTGTGGCCTAACTCTAAAACGGTGCAATCCTGACTGTGTAGCAGAAACCTGTATTGTTGCTGTATCATTCTGTAAATGATTTACATAGCACATAATAAAAATATACGCTGCTTCTTCTAATCCGTTGGCGCTCTTTTGCTGGCTTGTTGCTCATTTGTGAAGCTCAGCTATCACGGGATGGAAGATTTAGGCTACTTTTTACCCAAAAAATTTTGGGCAGTGTGGAAAGTCAAGAATACCAAAAGAAGTGATTCTAAGAATTAGGGGGAAAAAAGGCAGAAACAGATTTTTAAAAAATTTAAAAAGTAAACTATAGATAGATTACAGGAAATAAGAACATTTCTTCCCCATTTAACCCATGTTGGAGTTTCAGAGCTAAAAGTCAGAGTGAGATTATAAAAAGTTCTTCTAACTTCTCTTCATTAGAAGAAGTCATTAGTTACGTTTATAACCATATACACACATATACATACAATAATTGGATGCAAAAATAAGCACAATGTTAACCTCTTCCAGAGGCATCTCGAAGAGAGGTCAATGTCTCCAGGCTTAGAGGAAACTGGGATAAAGTATAAATCACTTTATCAGGCTAGACAGAATAAAAGTTTTTTTTTTCTTCAATATATTCCATAGACCTCTGCCTAAAGTACTTCTGACTTGTGTCCGAGCCAAGGCAAGTAAAATGATTAAGACAATGATTTACTCCTGTAAAGTCTACCCCTGCAAAAATTAATTGATCAATTGCTCCAGAGGTGATTACTTATGTGCATAAATAGGAATAAAAAGAGGAATGTGGTACTCCAACCATAGGGACAACTGCATATAAATGACAAAAAATGTAACTTGAGCCTCATATGGTATTCTTGAGCTGTCACAGTGGGGAGTGTGAGAGAACAGAAGTTGTGACTATGTGAAGGTGCAATAGGCCTATGATACAATACGCACAACGTATAATGATTAAGAACAGCTTAGTTGAAGAACCAGTTGCAATTTCACATTGTCGTTGGCCAATTGTACAGCACTTATTTTTGTCTAATTAAACCCAACAATCTAACAAAAAAACAAACAAACAAAAAAGTCTGACAAATCATCAGAATACAAACAAACAAAGCCTGTAATATCTAAGACAGCCACCATTCATTCCTCTTATAATTTGGATGTTGAATTCCCCATTCAAGCCTGATTTTTGTCTAGATATCTCTGTTCAGCTTTCTAATGTGTGAGTGAAGAACACATAACCTATTGTAATTGAGGTTATAGTTAGCCGATAAGCAATACATTGACAGTATCTAGGTGGAAATGTGTCCTCATGGTTCTACTTAATGAAGAGTCAAGTGAAATTTCAAGCCTCAGACACATATTGTGCTTTTCATCTGGAATATTCTCTCGAAAATAATTTGCAGAAATGATTTTAGACCTCACTGTTGCCAAGCGCCACTCCCGACCCTGTAATTGTGGTAAATCGTGACGAAATGGGGACGCCGAACGACCCTTAGGATTTCACTGTGGTCAGTTTAATCTCTGGCGTGCCTGGGAGTGACTTTCTGGTTAAATTAGGATTTAAATTACGCAGCTCACTGCAGCGCTTTGTTGCTCTTCCCTCCGCAGGACTTAAATAACCTGCAGCCAGCGGGGTGCCATTTCTCACTGGCTTATCGGTTAATAAGTGTGAATGAATGTGGAGATAAACAGTAGGTCTCGTTGCTGCCGTCGCGCTGACGACAAACCAGCCTAACACGACTTTTAAATATAGTGAATTAATTAGAAAAAAAAAAATTTGAACGCTAGCAGTACTGTGGGTGTGCGAAAGCATGCGGTGAATAGGTGTACACGTGTTGGGGGTATGATGAGTGTGTACAAGACGCAGAGCATATGCTGAGGCTTGCTGTGGCTTCTCTGTAAAAATGATCTAAATCAGGTCTTCTGCGTGTGTGCTTGTGTGCGTTTGTGTGTGCCCATGTGTGGGTGGTGGTCTCCCTTGCCATCTGGTGCCTTGTTACCTGCCGTTGCTGAAGTAAGATGGAGGCTCGGACTCCAAAAGGATCAGTGGTGCTGGGTCGTGGAGCAGTCGCCGCTCTTGGCTCCGTAGGGGTGGGTGAGACGTGGCATGAAATGTCCACCAGGCAGGATTTGCCTCGGCCTTTACCAGTGTGAATCACACCAGTCCACTTCCAGCTGAGACCCGACCACCACAGCGGCAGATGGCCGGTTGACATCAGATTCCTCTACAATTTGGCCCAACTTTCTGGCTGTCATGTCCAACTATGAGATTTTTTACATGGACAAAAGACTTTCTTTTGGGCCCGACACTGAGCTCCAACAGTTTGTAAAGCAGGTGGGGAAGGTGCTGTGACTCTGATCGCTGGAATCCATCGCACCAAAACCTTTGTTGTCGTGCAAAGGATTCTGCTGCGTGTTATTAGTGTTATCACATTGTAGCTTTTAGTGATTCATGAATGTCTCTGGTCGATTTGAAAGTTTGCCAGTTCGTGACAGTTACGCTTCAGCTAAGTTCGGCACCTCGGGGGGATCTAACCCTCATGATCAACTGAAATGCCACTAAAAACACAAAAGTGCATTTAACAGAGCTTCATAACATAAAATATCAAACCATGAAAACCAGTTCTTAAGCATAAAAAGTTCACATAATAGATGCTAAATGGGTGTCTAAAGACAGCCAAGAGGTATAACTATTAGGTATAATAGATATAACACTCACACAAAGTTTTAAAACCTGCCTGTTTTCCTTTTAGTGTCAGAGTGCTTCAAGGTTTTATATTGGCACTCTTTTAGCAGCACCCCATAATCACAGTAAGATGTTCAATAAAAGGGTCCCAGAGGTATGTTACATGCTTAGAACAATTAGATGATGTTAAATGTCCAATGTAGACCAGAATAGATTGATATCTGCCTTAAAAACCAGGATATTGTGTGTAGTAGTGGAATACTACCACAAAGGATGGTGTTAATCAGCAGTTTAACAAATGTACAGAGCTGTTGAACTGTTGTATTCATCCACCAAACAGACTACCCAGGTGAGTGTGGGGAAAGTGGTATGTCCTCACCAATAACAGGAGTCAGCTCTTTTGAGAATACTGACAAATTCTATTATTATAATGTACAGTAGAACCTCTACTTACGATTGCCTAAACATGCAATTTTCCAACATCCAAAGTAAAATCTGATCAAATATTCGACTCGAAACCCAAGTAAGTAGAAAGTCATAGAAAAAAAAATATATAAGAATCAAATAAAAATAAATAAGCTTAGTTCATTTAAAATTCATGTAGGCAAAGTTAGTTACGGTACATACTGTATCTGAGTCACCAACTCTACCTCCACACCGACCGTTCTCGTGCATTGCCAAGCTTACACCTCCGTTTGCTAATAGGTTCCAATAAAAAAAGAGTTTTAGAGATTTCTTCTTTATTTTTTACATCTCTCTTATATAATGCATTTGTTTTATTGCTATGTGTAATTATCTGCACTATTTATTAAGGAGTTATCGTAGAGTCTGGGGCTGTGGAACGAATTATAGGAATTACAGTGTATTCTGATGGAAATATTTGAACCAACATACGAATATTTTAACATACGAAATACTGTAGGTCCTGGAACAAATTAAATTCGTATGTAGACGTTCTACTGTACTTTGTTTGGTGCTCCACTGATATGGCTTCGCCCAACGATACCATTGCTTTATTGCACAATGTAATTAGTGGAGACCAAGCACAGTTATGTCTGGAACAGAACTTCTCTTGGAAGGGTGGTTAAACCATGAAAATGGCCGATTAGCTCGCAGATGCTTTCTTTGGTGCTCCGGTTCCCTGAAGGACAGGGCCCCTGTGACCAACTCTCTTTGTAAACTCTGTTCAGAAGGACACTTTTTTTTTTTTCAATGGTAAGCATTAGTTGTTGAAAGACTTAAGGATTGATTCCATTACTTGACTCATTGTAAACACTACTTGATCTCCAGGCTACCAATCTCTCATTAGATGTTACACACTGTTGACCCGTTTCTTCATGGAACATCCTCTCCCCAAAGCAGTGTTGACCAACAAACGCCTAAAAGCTCTTATTATGCACAAACAGGTTGATTCAGACGAGGCTCCAGAGCCTGCCATCTCAGCTGTTGATGACCCATTGAGATTTTTAGGGGGGGGCTGACTCTCCACATGAAGCTACACACACCTCAGTAGCAATTCCAGCACAGTTCAGGACTCCGTTAGAGGCATGAAACGGGCCTAAATAAACATCTAACTAATGAAGTTGCGCTCTCCATTTTTCACCTACTAAGCACCACTTTTCAGGTTGGTGGCTAATGGCATTTTTTCCAGGCTCCAGGAAACAGGAAACGTAGCTCACTTAATCAGAAGTGTTGCCGCCTCATGGGCCGCACAGGAGTTCCTTTGTTGTAGAGTAGATCTCCGAAGAGTCGATGCGATCTGCTGAGACACGGTTAGCATT